GTGCCCGCAGATCTCCTTCAGGCTGATAGCGATGTACCTCCCGGCGCAGCCGTGTGCCAGAGGAGTCTTTTTCCGGAGCTGCCTCCCGCTGTTTGTCCAGGCTCAGCCGGCGCACGCTCACCTGGTGGTTCTGGGAGACCTGAATCTAGTGGAGGACCCCGACCTGGACAAAACATCGTGCTCGGGCTCGGGGAATGAAAACCAAAGGCTGCTGAGTTTCTGGAGAGCAGAGGACCTCAGAGACGCATTCCGGGTCCTTCATCCGAGCCGTCCGGAGTACACCTTTAGAGACAGGGCGACAAAGGCGAGCACTCGCATCGACAGGAGCTTGGTGTCGTTCTCGTTGCTCGGGCTACTGGCGGATGCGCGCCACGTCAAGATCCCAAGGGGGCTGTCGGACCACTGGTTCGGCATTAAGGTAGCTCTCGCGGTGTCGGCGCCGGAAGATCAGGGCCCTGGCATGTGGAGGATGCAGGCAAAGCAAGCACGACGGAGAGGAGTTAAGACGGTGACAGCTAGCATCCTTAAGAAATTGGAGAACGAGGAAGAGATGGACCTGGGAAAGAGGCTGAAACTGCTCAGCATGGGCCTGAGAGAATACTCACGGGAGGAGCGAAAGAGGGTGAAGGCGACGGTGCAGCACCTGGAGGTAGTGGTGGAGCGACTGAGGCACAAAGTGATGCGATATCCGGGAGACAAGAGAGCACAAAACAGGTTGATGCGGAAGGAGGCGCACCTAGGGGCTTATCTCCAGAGCTGCAAAGATCGGATGCAAGTGTTAGCGGGAATCAAGGTGGAGCTCACCGGAGAAGTCCCATCGCCATACTTGTCGGCCAGAATCAAAGTACGGAAGAGACGGACGGTGGTGCGCGAGATCTCTCACCATGGAGTGGTGTACCAGGGGACAAAGGAGGTGCTGAAGGCGGCAGCGGACCATTTCAAAACTGCTTTTGGCGAGGTGCTACCAGAGGAAGAGGTGGACTGGGGGGCTTTCTCGGAAGGCGCCAGATTCTCGAAGACGGATGCAGCGCTCCTTGGGGCAGACTGGACGGAGGAGGAGGTCAAGCAGGCGCTGGAGAGCCTCCCGAAGAGGAAATCTCCCGGGCAGGACGGCTTGCCCGCGGAATATTTCATTCTGCACTGGGATCTGCTGAAAGCACATGTGATGAGTTTTGTCGGGGAATTCGCCAGGAAGGCGAGTATGCCGGAGAGCTTATCGACAGCGGTGACCGTCCTGCTGCATAAGAAGGGGCCAACAGATCAACTGGGGAACTACCGCCCCATCACACTTCTGTCAGTCATGTACAAGGTGGTTACAAAAGTTATGGCTACAAGGCTCAAAAAGGTGCTGGGCAAAGTCCTGTCAAAAGAACAGCACGGCTTCTTACCGGGGAAAAGCCTGGCGGACGCAGTATCAGTGGTAGCGGATGCGGTGGAGGCAGCGAACAGCGGCAAGGAAGATTGGCTACTGCTGCTGGTAGATTTCCAGAAGGCCTATGACACGGTCTCGAGGGTCTTCCTTTTCAGGGTCATGAAGGAGCTGGGGGTGCCTGACAATTTCATCGGCTGGACCAGGGGCCTGCATGCAGACGCAGGGACAAGGGTCATAATTAATGGGTGGTTAAGCGACAGGGTGGAGATGAACAGAGGGGTCAGGCAGGGGTGCCCACTGGCGCCATACCTGTTTCTTTGCGCACTCGAGCCGTTATGCAGAGCCACGCAGCGGGAGAAGCTGGGCATCGGACCGGTCGGGAAGGAGCCGCTTGCATACGTGGGATACGCCGACGACACATCATTTCTGCTGAATGGAGAAGCCCAACTGCGGAAGGTGGTGGAGGTCTTGGGCACCTTCGGGAAACAGTCAGGGCTGAAGGTGAATTGTGAAAAGTCAGTGGTGGTACCGCTGGGAAGCAACCGGGGAGAGCCGGTGCCGGCAGACGTCCCGTATAAATGGTCGGAGCAGGGAGAGCCGGAGAGGCTCTTGGGGGTGTGGATAACGCCCAACGGTGACCCGGATCCATCCTGGAAGAGGGCGTACGAAAGGATAAAAGAGGAGCTGAGGAAGTGGGAAGCGCAATATCTAACAACCACGGCAAGAGTGGCAGTGATTAGCTGCTATGTCCTGCCAGTACTGATGTTCCAGGCCCAAGTCTACTCGCCGCCGGAGGAGACGTGGGAAAAAATCAGGAAATTATGTCACGCGTTCGTATCGGCAGGGGAGGCGGCAGAAGAAAAAATATTCATCATGTGGAGCGCGTACCTGGCGTGTCTGCTGCGGAAGGATGGAGGTCTGGGGCAGCTGGACCCGAAGCTTTGCCTGGACGGGCTGGCGATCCGCAGGATCGGAAAGTTTCTGAAGGAGCCGGACGGAACGCGCCGCTGGCTGGCAGAGAAGGCGGCGGCTTTCCCGCAAGGGCTGGCCACGCTGTACGCGCACCCGTCGGCAATAAAGCAGTGGCAGCGCGGTAGCGAACGATGGAAAGCGGCGGCAAAAGTGTTCTGGAAATCACCTTTCGCGACACTGCCGGCACCAAGGAGCAGGTGGGAGGTGGAAGAGGAGTTTATTTGTTTCAACAGAAACATCATGCATCGAGGGGAGAGCCCTTTCGGTCACCAAATAGGCACAGCGGCCCTCATCACCACGCGCGTTCGGGACCTGCTCACGGACGGGCCAGGGGGACGGAGGGGGGTGAAAGAAGAAGAGGTGCTGACGATTGAACTGGGAAGCAGGCGGTCATGGCAAGGAAGGCATACGGGGCCATGCCGCCGGAGTGGAGGAAATTGATCGAGGAGCCGGCAACGGCCGAAGCTGTGGTGAAAGCATCGGGAGTGGTGAGGTACATCCTGCAAGGGCAACCGGCTAGACTCCCATGGGCAGTGGACGGGGTGGACGGCAGGAAGGTGGTCGCGTCCAGCATGTCCCTCGGTGAAGACGGGAGAATAGGGAAAAAAGCAAGAGCGGAGAAAACGTGTTTCGAAGCGTGCAGACTCCAACCGATGGCGGTTCAGAAAGGAATACTGCTTGGCCCCGTGGGAGATCCAAAGGTGCGGTTGCTGTCTCTACCAGGACTGTTCGCTGGGGGAGAATTGGTGCCGCTACGCGGGGTAAGGGCCGCACTATCCAAGGCGAAAGGGCGTTCTTGGAGACAAGCGGAGTGGGAGGACGTGTGGGGAAAAAAGATTGACTGGCGGAAGGTCACTGAGACCAGAGACTCGATAAATGTACCGGGCAAGGCGAGGGACGTCCTACTAAGGGTTCACAGCATGAACCTGCAGGTTGGGGGGAGGCTGGGTTTCTTCCAGAACAAGATAGCATGTGTGCACTGTGGAGAGGAGGAAACCCTAGCACATTGTCTCTACAGCTGCCCGGTCATACAACCGATCATTGGCGCGCTGAAGCGGACGTTGCACATGCTGAACCCGGGCAGGTCGGTGGACTGTCTGGGGGACCTACTGTTTGGCGAAAAGGGCACAGCGTCAGGTTTTCCGGAGATGACGCTGACATCAGTGGTGCTTAGGCATATCTGGTTGGCGCGATGCAATGCAGTTTGGCGCGCAGCTCCTTTCGAGAGAAAGAAGGTGGGGAGATGTGCTGTGCTGGACTTCATGACGCATGCGAGGGTGGTGCTGGCAGCAAGGGGAAGGCTGGCAGCGGCCGATGAAGGGAGAAGTTTCTGGAAGACAGACAATTGGAGCCATGTGGCTGCGGATGAGAAGTTGCAGCTTCAGAAGATTTGCGGTGATGGTGGGCCAACAATTTGGGCGGCTCCTTTCCTCTCCATCTGGCGCAACCCGCGCACTTTCTATCAGCCTCCGTAGCATGCCATAGGGGGGCGGTGCGGCGTCCACAAGGCGTGGCCTAGACCCTCCAAGATATACAGTTACGACTGCGGATGTATCTATATTTGATAATATATTTTCACCTCCAAAAAAAAAAAAAAAGTGTGTTGTTGAGGGGCGCTTTATTTTTTTTCAAGTGAAGCCTGTTGGCCCGAATGGTGCAAGGAGAGTTGCCGATTCAAGTACAGTTTCTTCAGCCGAAAGTGCTTTGTTAAAAACGAAAATAAATTACTTGTAAGATGTGCATATTTGACAGACACGAACGTTGTCTCGTACATTTGCACCCAAATAAATCGGTGTGAAATGAACTAGGGTGGTAGGAATGGAACTTGGTTGAGAGACACCAAATGCACGTCAGCAGAGTAAAGCGCGTGTTCCTAAAAATGCTGCAACGGCTCGGAGAAACCTGAAAAGGCGAGAAATTGTTGTCTCGCTTGAATCTTCTGCAAGGCGAGGCATGGGATGCAATGGAATGAGTTGTACAAGTTGTGGTGTCAAAGCAAGGACGTGCGTCCTCAATCAGTAACGAACAGGGCAGGACAAGACACTGTAGGGTAACGAGATGGCGGCATGGCGTTACTGTACCAGATGGACTGTACAAGGCCGGGCAGGGCAGGACCCACTTCAGTAACGTTGCTGATCTGCGCAAAATCTGGATGATGTTCCCCCCAGCCTCAGGTCCTTTGCCTCTTCAAATAGTGCCCCTAATTGGGTGACACCTTGTTTGCCATGCCATCCCCCCTGCTGCGCTGGCTGACCTCATCCCTAGCTGGAAGATTTTACACAAGCCATTTCATAGTAGGTTTTCTCAACCCCATTCCAATCACAGCATTTTCATGGGTGGCATGCCCGTTTGAGCTCCAGACAAAGGGAGAACATGGGCCCACACATCTGTGGCAGTTATTAGAGAGTCCCAAAGACCATAGCAGCAGAGAGGAACGTGGGATCAAGGACAATGACCCCTCGTGTGTAGTTCTAGGATTGGCAATCGGCCGCATATTAGTCCTACGACTCGGCATTTGTTCGGTACTTGCTTTACGACTTGATTCATCACGGTTCAGTTATCCGGATTCAGATATCATCCTCGTAGTAGTACCAACTCGATTTTGACTTGCGGCACCTCCCACAATTTTCAGATTGGCGAGTTCGCTCCTCACAGAATGAGCGACCGGTCGTCCCTTCCCGACGAAGCAACTCGTAACGCGGAGGACATGATGAACATGCGAGGGGACAATGATACTAATCCTGTGAGCGCGCTGTCCGCGATGGACGTGGAGGAGGGCGACGCGGACGACGAGCTTCTTCTAGTAGAGTCTGAAGACGCGGCGCTGCTGCCAGGACAGCTCGACGGCGTCGACGGCGACGTTGACGTCGGAGACCCTTCCAAGTCCCCTTCGCAGGGATACTTACGAGAAAGCTGCTTAAGCGGAAGTCCAAGCCCGCAGAAGACCTCTAATGCTGCGGCTGCTGCTGATACTACTGACTCCAGAAGTCCGTTTTCAGGACAGGCTGAAGAGTCCTGCCAAGCTGTGGAGCATCCTGACAGGCTTAATCTGGAACCTCGCAGGCCGCCGGACGATTTCAGTGAGCGTCGCCAGCGCGACGTGTCCGCGGGAGAACCTCCGTCAGTCACGGTGGGAGTGGCGGAAATTGGTACTATGAGTGCGGCCGCGGCGACAACGGGACAACCACCAATGTACCAGTACGTTCCGCGCTCGTGCTTTTGCACATCTCGAATGTTCCCCGTTCGTAGGGATTTCGCTGGAAAAATACCGCAGCGCAAAACGGTAACCGTAGAATGGTCCGTTAACTTTTCGGACCATTCACGAAGTCCGAAAAGTCTATTGTTGTATTCTGAGCCAAAACCCCTAACTCCGCGTTTACTCCTAACTCCTACTAACAGGCGTCGTGCGGCGAGGCAACGGCTTGCTCTGCTGAAGCGGCGGATACCGCGCGACGGATACATGTGGCTCAAGTATGGCCAGAAGCAGCTCACGGGCGGCACTCACGGCAGGTGAGCAGCTGCTCTATGTGATTCCTAGGGTTTCTTTTTCTGCGCAACACGTGGATGAGGTGGGTGACAGGGTATGGAGGGGTGTTGTGGTTTGAAGTTTCAAGACATCTGAGATCTCGTTCTTGTTCCAGCTTCCCAGCTCCAACGAACTTTGCGTCAGTTGCCTTGGGATTGGAGTCATTCCCAAGGCGTGTCGTCTCAACCCTGGAAGCTTTTGGTTGGGCGGGTCCGGCTTTCGTCATCATTGCGAGAGGTGAATTTGTAGTTTGTGATGGTTGTGAACTGTACACGCCCTAAGTGCAAAGGTTGGGAAACCTTGGGTTTTGTCAGATTCGATTTTCTTCCAGTGAATCATCTCGTTTCCCCTACTTCCTGTCCCTGTTCCCCTGCTTCCTCGCCTTATGTTCCTCTATCAGGCACTACTATCGCTGTAGTCACTTTCGCCAACCAACCGAGTGTCGCGCGCGGCGCGTGGTCGATTTTCACAAGCACGACTCCAAGTATCCGCTCCGAATCTCCTTCTTCGGCGAACACAACCATCCGCCGCCGCTTCACCGCCCGCCGCAACCGCTCGCAGCACCGCCGCAGAACCCTTCCGCCGCCGCTGCTGCGCAGCCGGCTTCCGCAGGCGCGACCGTCGCGCAGGCGTCTTCCGCCGGCGCATCCGCCCCCAGAAGCAGCCTCCACCCCGCGGATCGCCTCAGGCTCTCCCTGCCCGATGACGTCATCTTATCCTCGCTGGCAGGCGGAGCTTCCGCCGCATCTGCTGGCGGAGGCGGAAGTGGGGCGCAAGCTGCTGCTACTGGGTTTCAGCCTGGAGGCGGAAGCGGAGGGGGAGAGGGGGGGAATCAGGCGGGGATTCCCGCAGGCCTCGGGGGAAGGCTGCCTTACAGTCTAGCGGAACTTAAGGTCCTCGCGGTCGTTCTCCGCGAAGCCGCCGCCGCGTCCTCCGCTGCGGGCAATGCAAACGCGCCAGTGGAAGGCTCGTCGAGCGGCAGAGCTAACGCCGCCGCCGCCGCCAACGCCGCCGCTACCAACGCCGCCGCCACTGCCGCCACCTATCAAAGGGTGCTCTTTAACGAGCGCGGCGCTTGTGCGTCAAGCGTTGGCGGTAGCAGCGGTGGCGGCAGCATCGGCGGTAGCAGCAGGGCGGTCGCAGCAGAGCGGGAGCATCAGCTTCTGGAATCGCTAGTCAACTCGCTGACGTCTCCTGTGGCGTCACCGGGTTCCGGAAATGCCTCCCTCACCCGCCGCCCCTCGTCTGCTCCCTCCCCTCGGGATCTCCACTCCCCCATGCACATCGGCCCTCTGCTCTCCCCCGCATCAGCCGTTGCTGCGGCGTACCCTCACTGCGCCTCCTACCCGTCGTACCGCTCGTCTGCTGCCACGTCACCGTCCAGCATGACGTCAGCCTCTGGGTCAACGCAGTTCTCTCCGCATGCGACAGGGCCCACGGTGCACACAAGAACACGCTTTGGCGTACCATCCGCCTCCCCTGGCGCAGGTGCTCCTTCCGCCACTGCAGGGCCCTCCGCGCAGAGCCAGCAGCAGCTGACGGCGGCAGCCATTCTCGCGCACCTGCTGGCCGCGCAGTCGCGCCAAAGCGCCTCCCCGAGAACCCCTAACCCCGTGCATGAAGCACACGGGGCAGCACCAGCACCGCGGCAAGTGCGTGAAACACAAGGGGCGGCACCAGCACCGCGCTTTGTCCATGAGGCGCAAGGGGGAATGCACCAGCCGCACGCGGCTATACAGCAGCCTTTCAATGCGGTTCAGGGCGGTTTGGTCTCCCCTCCCCACCCCGCCCTTTCCTGCCCGCCAGAGGGCCGAATCCCCGCCCCTCCGCCACTGTTCATCCCCCGCCCTGCCTCCTCTCCGGCCGAATATATCTCTGCCTCTGCTGCCATCTCCTCGCCACGTGGCACGAGTGCGAACTGCCAAGTCAGCACCTGGCCGCCTGGTCAGGAGCAGCAGGGCCCACAGCCGTGGATTATGGGACATGGGTTCGGAGGTGTTGAGACAGGGTTTGATGGTGGGATGGGGGGTGTGGAGCTGTGGCAGGGAGAAGGGGAAGGGGTGGAGATGGAAGAGGGAGCGGTGGGGTGGGGTATGATGGAGCAGGACTGTGATGATGCTGGTGAGTTGCAGTTGCTGCAGCTGCAGGAGCTGCATCAGCTGCTAAAGAGACAGGCAGAGCGGAGACAGAGGCAGAAACAGGAGCAGGAATGGCTACAGCAGCAGCAACAGCAGCAGCAGCAGCAGCAGAACCAATACCAGCAGCTGCAGCAGCAGCAGCGGTGGAGGCGGCAGCAGTTGCTGCTCCAACACCTGGAAGCTCAGCTGGATCAGTTCCCGCAGCAGCAGCAGCAGCAGGGAGGGCAGGCAGAGGCGCCCGTGACACCATGCACTGACGACCCTGGAGCAGCCCTTACCCCGTCCTCCTTCACTGCTTCCGCATCCTCCCCTGCCATCTCCCCTGCGGGCTTAACTCCTGGGTCATCCTCTTCTCCTGCTTTAACCCCCTCTTCCCGTAACCCCTCCGCCCAAATCCCCTCCGCTCTGACCCCTTCCGCCCAAACCCCCTCCGCCCTAACCCCTTCCGCCCTAACCCCCTCCGCCCAAACCCCCTCCGCCCAAACCCCCTCCGCCCAAACCCCCTCCGCCCTAACCCCTTCCGCCCTAACCCCCTCCGCCCTAACCCCCTCCGCCCTAACCCCCTCCGCCCTAACCCCCTCCGCCCTAACCCCCTCCGCCCTAACCCCCTCCGCCCTAACCCCCTCCGCCCTAACCCGGTCCGCCCTGACCCCGTCCTCCCTAGCCCCTGCTGTGCTGATGTCTTCGTCCCAGCACTACCGCGAGCCGTCCTTCTCGGAGTTCCTGCGCCTGCCTGACATGAGTGCCATTCAGGCCAGCCGTGCTGCCTGGCTCTCCGGCCATGCTCGCAGCAGTAGTGGCGGCTGTGGGGGGCAGCAGCAGCAGCAGCAGCAGAACCAGAACCAGAACCAGAACCAGCACCAGAACCAGCAGCAGCAGCAGCAGCAGCAGCAGCAGCAGCAGCAGCAGCAGCAGCAGCAGCAGCAGCAGCAGCAGCCTGCCAGCACCTCACGACGTTCCCACGCGCGTACGTTGAGTGCGCCACACCCACAGGCGTTGCTACCTGGTGAAACAGCCATCAGACCCAGCAGCGGCTCCACAGCCTCCCGCCCTCTCTCGCCTCTTGCTCCCACCTCTTGCGCCAGACCCTTGTCCCCGCTCTCTCAGCTCAGCACTTTCCGCCTGCCGTCCGCGCACCAGAAGCCACCAGTGGTGGGGAACAAGAGGCCAGGAGATGCCGCGTCGCAGCAGCTGCTGCCCCCGCCCCGGCGAATGTCTCGGTCGGTAACAGCACCTGCGGCGTCTTCTGCAGCTGATGCCGCTGCTGCTGTTGCTGCTGTTGCTGCAGCAGCAGCAGGACCGCCACCACTGACGTCGCCTTCAGACATGCATCCTCCACAAGCGCAGCCAAAGCTGTTGATTTCCGAGGATAACTCAGGTGCTCTGCGTGTTTCGGCCCCGTTGCTACCATCAGCTCCCATGGCTGACGTGAGCAGGGTTGGATTTGGAAGTGCGACTTTTCAGCTCTCTGACTCCAGTGTAATCGGCGCCAGTGCGAGCGCAGAAGCAGCCTTTTCCCAGCTTCAGAGACAGCTGCAGGAACAGGCTAAAACTGGCAATTTGTTTGCTTTCAGTAATGGATCGGCTTCAGCAGCAGCGACTGGAGTGAGCATGCAGCAGCGCACTGCCACAATTGTGAGCCCCTTTTTGGTGCCTGAGGAGGATTCAGGGAAAGAACGGGACGCTGCTGGGGCTGGGGTGGGCAGTGTGTTTGTGCAGCAAGCAAGAGAAGCCCTGGTGGACCAAGGAGCGGGAACTGCAGCAGCAGCAGCACTGACCAGCTTGTTGCAGCAGGGTGATTTGTCGAAGCTCATTGAGGCGCTATCGCATGTCAAGGCGAGTGATGAGCAGGGCAGCGGGGATCCATGGATGGGCTCTGGAAGAAAACAAACTTGGTCAGCTGATGCAGGCTCAGGACCTGCTTTCTTTTCAATGGAGGCAAGCAGGGCAAATGTGGCAGGATCGAGTTGTTTCTTTAACAACCAGATTGGCACTCACGCGGCAGATACAGTAACAGGTGGGGAGGGAAACTTTCGGTTTGCATCTTCAGACCTGCCGACTGTCTTTCAGCACAGCCCTGATGCGCTGCAGAAACAGATACAGGATGCCATGGATCAGCAGGATTTGGATGCTGCCATGCTTGCTGCTGTTACTGCGGGAACCGTAGGCGCATCTACAGGTGCAGGTTCTGCTGGGGAGATTACCATGGGCGAGAATGCGTGTAGTTTTTACGGCAGGGGCCAAGCAGCGACTCTTTCACAATCAGATGGATTTCGATGCGATGTTGACAGCAGGCAGCAGCAGCAGCAGCAACATACGCCTTGTGAGGAGCAGAATGGAGGCGGTGAGAATGCGCTGGCGATGATGGCGTTGCTGAGAACCTTGACCGACCCAGATGACCACATGACACTCGATGGGTGATACACCGCCAAACTAAACGGTTGATCACTGCCCGGCACTGGATGGTTTGATGGATCAGCTACGGTAGTCGTGGTTGAGTATGTTCAGCACTTGTACAGCATTAACTGCTAATCTTTCCATTTTTGTTGTTTTGTCCATTTTTGTTGTTTTGTCATTCACCTTAACCAGCCGTTTAGAGGTGGACCAACAGATGCGTTTTTTTTTACATACTTTGGTGGAAATGTTGCTGGTGCCCACCCACACTGCACACGGTAGGGTAGATAAGGTTGCCCAATGCTCAGAGAATGTAGAAACAAGTTCAGGAATGAGCATGAGCTACTGGTAGCACATGCAGCTGCTGAGTCTGCTGCGTTGGCAAAATGATAACTTGTGTGACGATGGATATGGTACGGTACACGTTCTCACCTCGTGATGAGCACAACGGCAGCAGTGGAATGCACTGACAATGTTGGCATAGAAAAAGTCCATGTGCCTGATGGGATGACTGCTCTTGGCTGACCTGGGTCAGGTATTCCGTTGGGCATTGCTGAATGATTGGTGTGTGATCTGCATCTGGGGTGAGGTCACATCATGAGGTTGAGTGCATGCACTGCGACCGCATACATACGGCAAACTACGGTAATTCAACAGCATGGACTGCTGTTCAGTTGCCTGCACTGCACCCCTTTCCATGCGTAACCTGCAATGCAATATCAAAGGCAGATTCTTACAACCGATCAGCAGTGAGATGCAAGATATCTTGTTACCGTACATGACCGAATCTTAGACTTCTTCCGTGGATGAGGGTAATGGAAAGCTTGTTAGTGTAGGGTTTCTTAGAATGCTCCCAAGCGAAGCTACCGTATCCAAGCTCCTTAGCAGCAAGGCAATCATAATCTGTAGACAAGCTTTCAATTCATGAGAGACAAGGAATCAGGAAACTACGGTAAGAAACTAAGAAGCAACATGCAAGCCCAGTCGCCAGCAGATGCTTTGGAATCTGGCATTTGCCTATAATTCGTCTCGTTTAGCAGCGCAAGGGCCAGCGCTTCACATACCTACCACGAGTCCTCGGGTCCACGGGTCTGGAGTAAACTTCGGACAGACGCATTACCGCTTGTTCTTGTCCCGTCTCCGTCGCTTCTTCTCCTTGTGTTTGTTCATCTTCTTCCGCCGTTTCCGCTTCACGCTGCTGGCCAGTAGCGGCACCGCGCTCCCATACCCCGGGCCCTCGTGCAGATCGTCTCTCACGTAAGCAGCAGAAGGAACGGAAAGTGCCGGGATACTAAGCGAAGTGGCTGTGGAATCTGGCACCAGAAAACCTAGCGGAACGGGTCTTGCAGCAGAACCAGATAAAGTATTCATCCACCAGTTTGGTGAGGGAACAGGCTGGTATGAAACAAAGGCACTGCCAGGTTCGAACTTGAGGCCTCCTTGTAGCGAATCGTTCCTAATAGTTCGTTCCTGCCAGAGATCACGCAATCGGACGGCGGGGAACCCATTGGGACGAAGATCGGGTCGATAAGTCCCCGATCGTTCTAAATCAGACGCGCAAGCTGAAAAGGCCCGCTGATTCCTCCCAGCTGTTTCGCCAACGGTTTGAACGCGTCGGGCCGAAGAAGACCATCGTACTAGCAGCTGGCCTAAGGCAATGGCGGGTCTTCGTCCGCGCTCCATGGCGACGCGTGCTAGAAGAATCGACGGAAGTCAGTGGAACTACATAGTAGACTGAAACAGATAAGGACACGACACGAGCGTGGAATAGCCAAGCAGGTGGTGCGTGGCGTTGGTGATGCTGGGAGGAAATCGCTGGACGAACGCAATAAAGTAGATTAATACACGTGTTTCTTGAGAAGGTGCCTGCCTATGATGGTAATACAGACGATTAGACGTTTGCGCATACCAAAGCATATTTCCCCTTGTTCACTTGGAACAAACATGCAATATGTCATTCTACCATAAGATGCATTATCAATGGATATAAAACTAATCAACATTTTTTCGAGCACATACCTGCCAATGAGCAATACCGTATGATTTACTTAATGATAGACACATACCATATAATGCCCTTTTTCCTTTTTAAAATATCTGACATGTTTAGGGCTGTAGTTGATTACTGACAAATGGAAATGCATCTCACTCACAGCCAAGCTCCAATTTCTACAGAGCAACGAATGTTCTGACAATGGTGATAGCCCTAGACCAAACGGGGACATAACTTATCAGGATCCTGACCAGGTAGCATCATGCTTTCATTCGGTCCAACAATAGCTTTTAAAACGAAGGCCCGAGTCATTCAGCAATCATGAGCAGTCTATGCGGAGCGGTAGGATCCTTCCCGACTATCTTTAGCTAGCGATGCGCAGGCATCCAGGTCCCCCGCCTTATGGTCCGCGTCGCGCAGGATCCGGTGCGCCCGCTGGCGCGCACGCTGGCGCGCACGGCTATGGTGGCGGACAGGGCTACACTGGCGGCGGCGGAAGCAGCGGTTATGGCGGACACGGGTACACGGGGGGAGGCGGTGGCGCAGCTAGGGGCCCGCGCGGAGGCAGGTCGCCGTACGCGCACCATCCTTCCCCGCAAGCGCCCGCCGCGCAAGCTCCCCCAGCGGCACAAGCACCTCCCCCGCCTCCCCCTCCGCCAGCCCCCGTGAACCCCGCCGTTGCGGAGGCTGGCGCGCGGGCTGTGCGGTGGCTAGAAGAGGCAGCGGAGGGAATTGGCGCTGACGTGGCGTTGCGCGGAGCGGCCAGCGATTCCGGAGCCAGTCGTTTCCTGACAGCTGTCGGCGATGGTTTGCCCCAGGAGGTGGGTATTAAAGAGTTCAATACCTTGTCCCTTTAAACTCGTTTTGCTTGACTCTTGAGTATTATGCGTCTTCATTCGGAGTCCTGACCCACTTTCGACCTTCGCCGGTGCATCGCATTGCATCTCCGTTATTAACTGCCTCAGGTGCAGCTTATAAGCCGAGTGGCGTCGCTTCTCCAGTCGCCCTTGGCCCCTCAGCTGCTCGCCTGGGAGCCCACAGCCAGTCGCGTCTGGATGCTGCTCGAACGCCTGCTCGCACACAGGTGTGCTTCTCTCTGTTGCAGGCGTCTTACAGACTTAGAGTTCACCTTGCCCCCTCAAACGCTTGCTCGCCTAGACAGGGATGCTGTCATCCAATCAGCAACCATCAACCCCCCTCTCCCTCCTCTCCTAGCTTTTCACCTCACCCCCCATCCCCCTCCATCCATTCCCCCCCCCCCCTTCACTTCCAATGTCAGGGATCCTGTCATCCAAGCAGCAGCTGCTTCCGCCATCGGGGTTGCAGCATCAGTCCGCCTCCCGTCCGAGTCGACCCCTCTCTCTCCAGCCGCTGCAGCGCCGCCAGCTGTCGCCGTTTCATTCGCAGGTGCGGGAGAGGATTATGTGAATAGGGGTGGTGAGGAGGGCTGGTGATTGGCCGGCTGAGTGGGCGGCGCGGCTGATTGTGCGGGTTGTTGTTCTCACTGCGAGCCTCATTCACACTACTGTGTGTGTCTCGGTTTCCAGTATCAGAGCCTCGGTCATGGGACAACTCTCCACTTGCATTGCATGCATGCATGTATTGTCATCTTCTTTTCAGAATGCACTTCCATGAGTTCCCCACTCCCCAACCTCCATTCCCCACTCCCCACTCCCCATTCCCCACTCCCCACTTCCCGCTTCTTACACCCCTCACTCTCCCCATTCCTCTTGACTCCCATTTCCCCCATCCTCTCCCCTCATCCCTGCCAGGAGCGGAGCGTCTCTTTGCGTGGGCCCTGCCCCAGCTCACAGATCCCAATGCTGACGTGGCAAACACACGCCTTGCCCTGCTGGCAGCTGCTCCCTTCTGCCAGCTGGCACCCGCGCCTTTGCCGCCTGAAGCTGATCCGAAGTCAGCCCCAACTGTTGCACCGGCAGCAGCAGCAGCAGCAGCAGCGGCAGCGGCGGCGGCAGGAGCAGCTGCTGCAGCAGCGGCAGCATCAGAGCCATATGTCTCCAGCTGTGTGCAGGCCTGCCAGGGCCTGCTAGAGGACGAGGGAACGCCGCCCACGCTCCTCCCGCCCATCCTCTCCATTCTCGTCGCCGTCGCAGAGCGCTTTCCCGGATCTTCCTGCAGCAGTTTGAGGAAATTATCGACCTGCTGCTGGGCTGGGCCATGGAGCCGTCAGTTCTGCCGGCTAGCCGGCAGCTTATCGGCGACTGCTTCTTGCGGTTCGGCCGGCAGTGGCGGGAGAGGGGAACGTTTACTCGAAACGTGCTGCTGAAACTAGTGGGGGATATTGAGACGGAGGTGAAAGCGGGTAAAGGGACGGTTGATAGCGGTTCTGCTGGTGTTGCTGGTGGTGCGGCTGGGGCTGCTGGGACTGCAGGGGGTTTTGGCAGTAGTGGTGGTGGTGGGGGAAGGAGCAGGGCAGCAGCAGCAGCAGCAGCCGCGGCAGAAGAAGCAGATGCTTCGGATGCTCGCTTGGCCGCGCTGACTTTGTCTTTTAGTGCCGTTCTGGGCGGCGTGACAGGCTGGCGAGGCGTTCCTAGCCCCAGCACAGATGTCACCCCGACAGGTGCAGTCAAGTGTGCGAGTGGTGGGGTTACAGGGGATGCAGCAGTTAGGCAAGGGAATGCGGCTGGGGGACAGGGTGATTCATGGCGTCAGGTGGTTCCTTTGGAGAGTCTGTTCCGGCGCTGGCTGGTGCTGCTGAGAGATCTCCTGCAGGTGGACATTCAGGTGGATTCTCAGGTGGATTTTCAGGTGGAGGGAGGAGACGGCGGGAAAACAGTGCTGGTGGCAGCAGGTGGTGCTGGCGTGGGAGCAGGGGGAGGGAGGACAGCAGTAGAAGGGACTGCTGCTCCCTCATGTGCACATGAGGGAGCAGCAGTTGCGGGAGGGCAGGTGAGGAGGGTGCCAGTGGGGAGAGCAGGGGTGGCGCGGGTGGCGTGGGTGGCGGAATGGTGGGCAGTGCTGCCTGTCTTCTCCTGGGCCCTCTGTGCTCGGGGCAATAAGCAAGATTCATGGAAGGAGAAGGCAACGTGTCCGCCTCACCGTCGCTGCTCTCCTGTTGGGCAGTTTCTGAGAAGCTTCTACGTGCCAGCTGTCGCCCCTCTCCTGAACGCCATCGCCAGCACGCGCCTCTTCCCGCCGCCTGCCCTCGCGGCCGTGCTGCGCTGCCACCTGGCAGCGATTGACTCGCTGCGCGGGCTCTGTGTGACGGAGCTGCAGGCTCAACTGGGGGAGGTGGGATCTGTCGAATCTAACGCGTTACACCAGGGAGACCAACAACAGCAGCTGCCGCCGCCGCCGCCGCAGCAGCAGCAGCAGGCGCAGGGCAGAGAAGTAGAGATTCCCGGCAATTCACACGGAAGCAAGGGAAGCGATTTGACTGAACATGTCTCCAAGGGTTTTCCTCCCAACATCCCCCATTCTTCACCAGACCCCCTGGCTGCAGCCTTCTCTGCGCTCCTCTTCGCCCGCCCCTACGCCCCCCTCCCCCTCCTCCGCCTGCACCCCCACCCTGCTGTCGCCTCCGCTGCTGCCGACACCCTCCTCTCTCTCCTTGCCTTCCCTCCTCTCACACTCCCCCCCTCGCACCCACCGCCCCTCAATCCCTCCCTGTCTCACACACAGATACCAGGTTCCAAGCTAAGTTCTCCAGTGCCAACTCCCACTCCGCCAACCCATATCCCCTCCTCCTCTCCCCCCTCTTCCTCCTCGTCCTCTCCCTCCTCCCTCCCCTCCTCCCCCCTGTCGGTGCCTGTCTCCTTCCTGCTGGCAGAGATGCGTGACTGCTACCGCTGTGCCACTCCCACCACACACTGTGGCAGCATTGGTAACCAGGTTACTGGTGGGCCTGCAGGTGTAGTTACTGGTGGAGTTCCCGGCAGTGGGGGCGTGGGGGCAGGAAAGCAGCGGAGGAAGAGGAGAAGTGCCGTGCGTTCTGGTAAGAGTTTCCTGTTTGAAGTCGATTCCGCGTTGGAAGACTGGTGCAAGCAGCACGGGGCTGACCTGTCCCCGTCTGCTGCTGACGTGGCGGAGTGGGATTGGACGACAGAGGAAGCGGAATCCCTCCTGCGGTTTGACCTGGTGGCTCTGTCCTCGGGAGTGATTCACGGCGCGCTGCTGTGCGCTCACAGCATAGGTGGAGGAGCAGATGCAGCAAGTGGAAGAGCAACAGGAGCAAAGGCAGCGGCACCACCTTCTGCTGCGCCCGAAGCATCAGCACCGTCAGCAGCAGCAGCAGCAGCGGTGCAGCATCATCATCAGCAAATGGCAGCTGGTATCTCCCCGCTACTCCGTGCCCTTGTCTCAGACTACCGCCGCTGGACCCGCCGCCTCTGGCCACTCCCGCGCTGCCAGGTGGCGGCGTTTCACGGGCTGAGGGCCGCCTCTCAGGCTGCGTTTCGTGGTGAGCACTTGCTGCTGGGTATCGATGCGGCGACTACCGCAAGCACATCCGTTATTGTCACAGCCACTACAGCCAGAGCCACCTCCACAAGTGCAGTCCCGGGTGCACCTGTTACTGCTGGCGCTGGGGATGCCACTTCTGCGAAACCAGAGAGTACAAGCGCTGAGAACAGTGCCACTATGGATGCCACTGGCAATACGCTCACCGGGAGGAGGACTGGGAGCAGCACCAGAGGCGCACCTGCAGGTGCTCTTGTGCTTGCTGAGCTGGCGCTTAGCTGGCGTGACGTGGCGTGGGCATTGCAGGAGGGCGAGGCCTGTGCCGGTCTGAAGCTGGAGGCTCTGGCATGGGTCCGACAGATATCTGAGTCAGCATTGGCTGCGTCAGCAGCCACGCAAGCACCTGCAGCAGCACGAGAGGCAGCATCTACATTCTCACCTGCCAATTCCATCATCCCCGCTTCCCTCTCCACCATACCTCCTCATCTCCTCCTCCCTCTCACCTCCTCTCTCCTCCACCCTTCTTCCTCCATCCGGCTGGCAGCAGCTGGCAGCTTGTCGCTTCTCGCAGCCACAGGGGCACTCTGCGGCCGTCAAGCTTTGTCTGTAGCGCAGGTGGCGCTGTTCCAGGCGGGCGGCGATCTCGATACTGCCGTCCGCAAGGCCATGGAGGAGTTGCTTCAGAAGGCGCTGCTATCTGCTGCTGTCTCTCCCGCCATCCCTCGTCCTCTCCCCCTCCCTCCTCCTCTCCATCCCCTCTCTCCCACTTCCCTTCCTCTCACCTCTCCTCTTCCCTCACTCTTCTCTCCTTCACTCGTTTCTAAATCATCTGAGATTCTCCGTGGGCCTTCGTCAGGTGAAATGTGGCTCCTGAAGGCCGCAGCTTCAGGTGAATTCCCAGTCCACCTGGCGTCGGCGTCAGGTGATTTGCCGCTCAAGCCACATCAGCTGGTGGGGGTTCTCAACCTGCTCTCCCGCAAGCAGTCCACGTCAGCACCGCCGCCGCGCCCTGATTGGCTGCTGCGGATCCTGCTCACTCTCCCATCCTCTCCTCCCTCCGCTTCCTCTCTCCCCTCAAATCCCCCTCTTCCCCAAGCTCCTAATGCTTCTCTTCAAACCACGTCAGCAGCAGTAGCAGCATCATCTGAAGCAGAAGCAGCAGCTGGAGAGCTGGACAGCTGGCGCCAGCTGGCGGCGGTGAACGGTGAGCTGGCGCTGATGTGGCTGGTCCAGCTGGCAGCTCGGCAGTGCATGAGCGGGCGGCTGCGCACGCATTACGGGGGAGCATCTGCCACGTTTGCAGCTTTTGAACGGACTCTCTCTGACGCCACAAATCCCACTGTTGCCCGCCTGCCCCTGCTGCCCAAAGGGGTGGTGGTGGTGGTGCCAGGGAAGAGAGGGATACTAGGAGGAGGTGGTTGGGGAGGAGGGAAAGATCCCTCGTCTTCAGCTTTGGGCCGAACCAGCTCAGCAGGTTCGGGCGGAGCTGGTTTGGCAGGTGGATATGGGAGTGTGTCCTCTGCTTCATCCTCTCAACTGCCCCTCTCTTCCTCTCCCTCGCTCTCGCCTTTCCCTGCTCCTTCTCTCTCCTCCTTCCCAGCCCCATCCACCTCCTCTTTCACTCTCCTCTCCTCCTCCTCCGCCTCCCCCTCCCTCTCCACCTCCGCCTCTCCCCCTCCCCCGCCCAACCTCCCTGCTCCTCCCCCTCCCATCTGCACTGGTGCTGAGCTGGCACTCGACCCCGACGCGCCACGTCAGCACGAGCTGGCGCTGATTTCCCTCCTCGATTTCATGGAGGCTTTAGAACGGCAGGTCCAGTCAGCAACGGAGGGCAACTCCTTCACCCCCCCACCCTCCAACCCTAACAGCCTCGGGTTTTTCCGAGCCAACAGGCGCGTGTGCGAGGAGTGGTTTGGAAGGTTTCGGGAAGGACTGGTGCATTTGGCGCTGGGCGTGGGGCGGAATGGGGCTGTGGTTTTTCATGCAGGGAAGAAACTAGGGGAGCTTAAGTGCCCTGTAGAAGTGAGGGAGTGGGAGTGGGACGAGGATGGGGATGGGGACGGGGAGGGGGAGCGGCAGCAGCTGCTGCAGCAGTTGCAGCAGCAGCAAGGGTGGGCCAGCTCAGCAACAGATGTCGCTCATGCAGTGCGCCACCTGGCGTTCGGTCTGTGCCAGTCCCGCGATCCAGATGCGATTGCTGGGCTGAGGGAGTGGCTGCAGGTGCTCGTGCGATCGCTGCCTCATCCTCCTGGCTCTGCTCCTGCTAATGCAGGCACAGCAGCAACAGCAGCAGCAGGAGGAGGAGCAGATGAGCTTCTACAGAAACACGTGTGGCTTCTAAAGGGGATGGAGCTGGAGGCAGATGGAAGGTTCGAGGAAGCTGCAGAGCACTACAGAGGGGCGATGGAGACAGGAAGGGTTGGTGATAGTGGTAGTAGCGCTAGTGGTGGTGATGATGGTGGTGATGGTGGGGTAAGAGGAACGAAGGCGACGGGGGTGGTGGAGAAGAGTGGGTTGGGGCGAGTGGGGGAGTTGGGAGCAGAAGAAAGGGAGGGTCGGGGAGGGGGAGAGGGGGAGGGCGAGGGGTGTGTGATGGGTGCGCGGCTGATAGACGTGTACAGTGCTGTGGGGGACTTGGAGCAGCTGCAGGCGTTTCTCAAGGTGCTGCTGGGTGCTGCTGGGTGCTGCTGGGTGCTCTGCTCTGTTCTCTTCTCTGCATGCTCACAGGGTCGTCTGCACTTTTAGCATGCTCACTGAGGCCCTTGGCACTCTTCTTGCGTACTAAAAAAAGCCCTCACTTTTGGGATGTTCAATAAGGCCGTTGCATACTGGATGATACGCAAGGAGGATTGGCCTGCGTTTTTCTAAGTCTGACCTTCACCTGCCTGCTCACATTAGGTCACACACCGCCTCCTCAGCTTACCCTTCCCTTGCACCGATTCCGTACTCTTTCCTCCGCTGATTTTTTACGTGTCTTCCCTGTGCCCCCTCCCACTTCCCCAACCCTGGCCTTAATAAATCGCAGGCCAATCCTCTCAGCCAATCAGCTGAAGCCGCCACGTCAGCGTGCCTGCACTTCCAGCAGGATCTGTCATCAGCTCTCTCCCTCGCATCCTTTGACCCGCTCCTCCTCACCCCCAATGACCCCATTGCTGGAAGCACGGAGCTGGGAAGAAAGTCTAGCTCTATCAGCTCCGTTCCCATTGCTGGAAGCACGGAGCTGGGAAGAGAAGCCCACCAAGCCGCATCTCTGCTGCTGCCGCTGCTGTCTGCTCCTGTGCGATCCCTGGATCCATTCTCAGCCGTTAGATTCGCCCGGCACAATGCGATCGCTGCCATGCTGTATTTGGGGAGAACGGCTCAGGCATCTATACATGCAGCAGAAGCAGCAGGAGGAGCAGGAGCGGGAGCAACAGGGTTACCGACAGGTTTGGCAGCAGCAGTGGCAGGGACACCAGCAGCACAGTCGACTGCATCAGCAAGTACTGGAAACCCCAAGGAACCTTCCGTGAAGCTGCTTTTGGATGGGCTGGAATCTGCCAGGTCAGCTTTGGGTCGGCCTCTGTTGTCTCTATCGGCAGTGGGCTATCCCGTGAACCCAGCAGCAGCCATGCCAGTGGCGCTAGCAGCACTGGAGTGCACACTGCTGCAAGACACTCTAGTAGGACAGTCCAACGCAGCGGAGCAGCAGCAGAAATACAACACACTAGGACAAGGACAGCACAACACTTTTGAGGCGCCTCAACAGTTCAACACACTGGAGCAGCAGCAGAACAAATCACAGCAGCAGCTGCAGCACAGGGATGGGAATCGTCAGCAGCACCACATACACAACCTGTTCAGTTCCGGTGGACTGGGAGGAGAAGCTTCCTCGTTTGCCAGCTGTCACGATGCCATAGGCTCGCTGCTCTGGGAGCTGCCTTCGTGGCTCGGGGTGCTCCGAGCCTGCCAGGTTGCCCAGCCGCGGCATGCCGAAGCTGAATCGGTGATTCGCCTGCATCTGGCTCGGCAGGCCAGGCTCGGTGGGAACCTGCGGCTGGCGAGCAGGTTGCTGCCTGGTTCGGTGACAGCTCTGGCAGACCAGCAGCAGGATCGGGGGGATGAGATGAGAGGAGAGCTGGAGAAGTGGAGGGCGATGGAGGCATGTGAGGTGGCACGTGCTGATGGGCGATGCTTGGATGCTGTGAAAGGGATGTGGTCTGTCTGTGGCCCAGCTATGGCTGACATGGCATCTGCTGCAGCTGCACACACAGGAGCAGGTGCATCAGCATCAGCGCTGGCGTCAGCATCCATGCATCTTTCTCCTCACTGCAATCCGCTCGCCACCCACGCGTGTCTCAAGCTCGCCAGCTGGCTGCTTCCCATTGGCTCCTTCAGCCATGGGGTTGGGTGCTATTCAGGAAAAGGACAGCTGGCAGCTTTGGATTGGCTCCTCGCCAGCACGGCAAATGGGTCATCTTTGGTTCTCCCCCCTCCGTTAGTGTCATACGGGGTACTGTCACAGCAGCATGCAGCATCCATGGCCGCAGGATCCTCTTTCAAATATTCAATCCGAGCCATCCATCCCATTCAACCAAATCTGATTCCGGAATCAGATTCAGCCGCCCTGTCCAACCCTACTAGCCAAACGTATCCCACAGGGCAATCCAAACTTGCAAAGTTGGATCTTTTGTCTGTAGCAGGGGCGGCGGTTTGGGCGGCAGTGGGAGCATGCAGCGAGATGCCGCAAGCGTGGCTGGCATACGCCCAGTGGCTGGACTGCATGGCTGACACACGCATGCCCCGCCATGCTGGCACGCTTGCTGCTGACGTGGCGCAAGGCGACAGCACAGGAGGGGAAGGAGAGGGGAGAAGGGAGGAGGAGGAGGATGAGGAGGAGGAGCAGGAGGTGGATGTGGTAGCAGCGCTGCCTGCTTCCCTTGATGATGATTACAGTGCTGATGCTGCTGCTGCTGTTGGTACGACCGGCATGGGTGCATCAATCTCCGGGCAGGGCGCCATCTCCCCACCATCATTTCATCTACCGGACACGCTGTCACTCTCCCCTGCACTCTCTCCTCTACGGGCCGGTTTTGGTGCTGCAGCACCAGCACCTGCTGCTGCTGCAGAAACCACCGCTGCTGCTACTGAAGGGGTGCATGCCACAAGTAGTGCATCGGAGGCTGCTCCCGCTGGGTTCACGGAGGGAGAGAGGGACACAGTGCTGTGTGTTGTTACCCACCTTCTGAAACACCTGCAGCTGGCCAAAACTGATGCTGCTAGTGTTTCTGGCGGTGATGCTGGTGGTGGTATTGATGCTGCTACTGCTGCCAGTGTTGGCGTCTCTGCTGCATCAGCCACCAACAAGGCGACAGAAAGGGAAGAAGAAGCAGCACAAGCATCCGCGCTCCCAGCTGCCCAATCACTGGCTGCCACGTGTCTGGCCATCATGGACCAATTACTGCTGCTCCCAGCCCCTCCTGCCTCTCCAGCCCCTCCCGCCCTGCCCTCCCACACTCTTCCCCAGCCACTCTCTGTGTCCCCCTCTCGCTTCAAAGCCATGGGACCAAACGGATTGCATGTGGGCAGCAGGGAGGGAGATCTGGGTGCAGTAGAGGCGCGTGGGTTGGGCGGTGGGTTGGATGCGAGGTGCATGGGAGGTGTGTCAGGGGCGAGTGATCAGGTAGAGGAGTGCGTGTGGCAGGAGCTGATGCAGCAGCTGCGTGCAGCAGTGGTGCAACAGATGACAGCCGTGCTGGGAGGAGGAGAGCGGCTGGACTATTGTGGCGAGGATAACAGCGGGGATGCTGCTGCTGCTGCTGCTGTTGCTGGCGGTGCTGCTGCTGTTGATGGCGGTGCTGCTGCTGTTGCTGGCGGTGCTGCTGCGTCAGCTGTGGCAGCGGTGGCAACGCCAGCAGCGGCAGCAGCTGTGGCAGCAGCTGTGCATCAGGTGCTCGCCACCTGGCGCGCCGCCCGCTTCCGCGCGCTGTCAACGCGACACCTGGCAGCCCGCGCGTACATGCGGTTCCTGCAGCTCACTGGGTCTGGGTGGGGTGGGTCGTGCTCGGGGGAGGCAGGAGGGAGGGGTGGGGTGTGCAGGGAAGGAGGAGAGGCTGGTGGGAGGAGTGGGGAAGATGGCGGAAGGAAGAGCAGGAAGAGGAGCAAGGGGAGTGTGAGTGGTGCAAGGGAGAATTGCAGGGGAGAAGATACGATGAGCAGGAAGGAGGGTTGGCCGCAGGGGTTGGAGGGGTTGGAGAGAGGTCAGAAGGGGTGGGAGGCTGCTGGGATGGGTGGGGCGAAGCAGAGCGGGTGGGAGGGGAGGATGGAGGAGGATGGTGGGTCATGCGGGGCGGCGGTGGCAGGTGGGAGTGCGGTGCTGACATGTGTCGCGATGCGAGTGGTTGATATTCTCATGCAGCATGGCTCGCACATGCCGCCCGTGGTTGCCGCCCCCATGGATGTCGGATGCCCGCATGCCTGGCAGGTGCGTCCTCAGGCATGTTCATTATGCAAGGTGCGTCAGGTGCAGCATTGATTTATGGTTTTGTACATTCTAAATAGACATGAGCAATATATACAGCACTGATTTCCTTTTTTCTCTCTCATTCTCCCTAGTTGGAGTTCAAACCGAGCCAGGTGAACAGTCTCAGCAGGACACTGCTGAGGCGTATCAAACTGAATTTGGCTCCCTCATTCCCCCCCCCTCCCCTCCTAACCTCCCCACCTCTTTTTCATGCAGCCCATTCTCCCCCAACTCCTGGCTGCGATATCGGCGCAGCGCAGCGCGTCTGTCAGGCTGCAGCTGAAACGTGTCCTGCTCTCATTGGCCGGGGCCGCCCCGTCCCTGGTGGTGTACCCGCTGTGTGCAGCTGAGAAGCACCGCCTGCAGCACCTCAGCCTCGCCCTCGCCTCCCTCCCTGCCGCCGCTGCTGCTCCTTCTGCCGCTCCTCCTTCTGCTCCTCCTCCTTCGGCTCTCATTCCTAACTCTAAAACTGCCGGTTCAGACAGTTCTGCAAGTGCTGTTGCCTCGTCTTCTGCCAATGCTGCTGATGCATCAGTTGCTGTTGATGACATGGCAGCTGACCTGGCATGGCACGTGGCGCTATCTCAAGCAACACCCGGATGGCATCAGCTTCGAGCCGCTCTCTCCTTCCTGGTATGCACCAGAAACCGTGCTTCCTCATGCACTTTCTCATGCGCTTCCGCCAATCTATTAATTTCGTATTAATCTCTGTTGTTCCCTGTTTGTGACCCTTTCGCCGTCCTCCCTTTCTCCCCGTGCTCCTAAAACCCCCATGTCTTCGTTATTCCCCACCCACCCCACGCTCGCAGGAACACCACCATCTAGCCATGGTGACATCAGCGCGCGCGCTGCTGACATCAGCGGACCGCCTGTCAGTGCTGCCAGAGGAGCGGCTGCTGACCTCCCTTCAGTCCTGCCTCTCCCTCCTCCACCGCTCCCTCTCCTCCCTCCTCCTCTCCACCCGCCACCAACTCGCCGCTTCCTCCGCTGCCGCTGCCGCTGCCGCGGCTCCCATCCCAGCTATTGCTGATGTGCGTGGGGGGCAGAGACAGGGGCTAAGGCAGCCACATGCTGCTGCTGCTTCTGCTACTGCTACTACTGGTGGTGATGTTGCTTTGGCAGGCTTTCCCCTGGTAGCACCAGTGATTCCGGAGATAGTGAAGAGGGTTGTGGGGAGTGGAGGGGATGGGGAGGGGGGGGAGGGAGAAGCAGGGAAAGAGGAGGAGCGGCAAGAAGCAGGTGTGGGCGAGGGGGAGGGGGAGGGGGAGAGGGAGAGGGAGGAGCTAGCACAAGACGACAATGATGATGAGGATGATGGCAGGGGGGTGGTGGACACGGCAGTGCCTGGTGCCCTGCTAGTTAGTGACCTTGCTGCTACTGCTGCCGATGCTGCTGCTGCTGCTGCTGCTGCTGCCCCTGTGGGTGTTGAGAACGTTCCGTCTGTCTCTGTATCGGCCCGTGCCCCTGCTGTCTCTGCTATCTCTGCTGTTGCTACTGCCACTCCCGCCACTGCTGCAAGCATGCATGACAGCAGAAGTGCACCATCAGTGCCATTGCTGCCACCGTCTGTCCCCTCGGAGGAGGCGGTACGAGCGCAATTTCAAGTCAAGTACCAGGAGATAGTGGCCGGGGTGGTGATACGCCTGCAGGGCATTCTGCAAATTTGGGATGCTGGTGCTGCCACTCTCAATGATTCTGCTGCTGCTACTGCTGGTGCTGGAGCTGCTGCAGGTGGTGCTGCTGCTGGTGACACAGCAGCAGCACCAGCCCCGCACACCAGCAGCAATCTCCTCCTATCTCCCCTAGCGGCCTACCTCTCCCCTCGGGAACTCCATCTGCGTCCCAAGCTCCGCCCTCTCATCGCTGCAGCTGTAGCCGCGCTACAGTCGCCACCCACTGACGTCAGCAGTGGCGCACTACGAGACAAATGCCGCCCGCTGGAGGCGACTGTAGCGGCGCTGCAGAGGGAGCAGCGGCGGTACCTCTCGCTGCCAGATGTCGCACCAGGATTCGCCGCTTTCAGGGACACTGCCGCCCCTGTCCCTGGCTGCTTATCCAACTCCGTTACAAGCAGATTCGTTACAGGAAGTAGTGATCCTGGGGCTTTGCTTAGCTCATGTGCTTATAACGAAGGGCTAGTGACAGTAGCTGCAGTGAGAGACAAGGTCGAAGTTCTCAGCACCAAGACCCGCCCGAAGCGCATCGTGATCGTCGGATCCGACGGCCAGGATCGCAGCTTCCTGATCAAGGGCCGCGAGGACCTCCGATTGGACGCGCGGATCCCCCAGCTCTTCCAAGCAGCCAATGCGCTGATGCAGAGCCACGGACCAACCAGGAAGCGACAGCTGGCGGTGAGGCAGTATGAGGTGGTGCCGACGGGGAGTCAGTCAGGCATGATCCAGTGGCTTGAAGGGTTGCATAGTCTGTACTCGCTGTATAAGGCGTGGCAGTCCCGACAGGCTGCTGCTGCCACTGCTGCTGCCGCTGCCGCTGCTTCTGCTGGTGGGGTTGGTGCGGCTGGTGGTGCTGCAGGTGGTGGTGCAGGAGGGAAAGGCGGAGCAACAGTGCCGGCAGGAGCAACGCCAGCAGCAGCAGCAGCAGCAGCAGCAGGGGCAGCAGTGCAGCGGCCCACGGAGATGTTTTTTGCCAAGGTGGCGGCAGCGCTGCAGGCGAGAGGGATGAGCCGCTCCACGCCGCGCTCTGATTGGTCGAAGGACTTGAAGCGCGGCGTGTTTGATGAGCTGGCACGGGAGGTGCCACGTCAGCTGCTGGCGAAGGAGATGTGGAGCTCAACAACAGGCTCCGAGGGGTGGTGGGGCAAGCAGCAGCGGTGAGTGGGGTGAGGCGTGCAAGATGGTTGGTAGTTAGTGGTTGTTAGTGGTTGAGAGGGGTGGAGCTCAACGACAGGCTCCGAGGGGTGGTGGGGCAAGCAGCAGCGGTGAGTGGCATGATTTGAGGCGGTCGATGCATGCGAACGGAGTTACGGTGGTGGTTTTAAGCTTTAGGCTCTAGGGTTTAGGGTTCTGAATATATGGTTCTCGGGTTCAGGGTTTAGGGTGGAGTTTGCATATTGTGAGAGTGCCCGGGAAGGGCAAAGTGGGATGCGGAAAGTGTGGAGAGGAGATCGGAGATGGGAGAGTTACACACTTGCAGGTGTGGGATGGGATGTATTATGTATGCCTTGATCTTGACCCATTCGTTCGAGAATCCTCTCCTTCATGTGCCCTCCTCTTGCCCCTCCCCATCCCACCCCACCAGCTACATCACATCAACAGCCGTCACCAGCACAGCAGGCTACATCCTTGGCATCGGCGACCGGCAAGACCCGCTCCCTTCTCAAAGCCTTCCCTTCCTGCATTTGCCCTCCTCTCCTCCCCTCCCCATCCCACCCTTCCAGCTACATCACATCAACAGCCGTCACCAGCACGGCGGGCTACATCCTCGGCATCGGCGACAGTGGTGCAGGTGCCCTCCCCTTTCTCATCCCCCCCCTCCCCCCTCCCTCCCCCCCACCCACCACCAGCTACGTCACATCAACAGCCGTCACCAGCACGGCGGGCTACATCCTCGGCATCGGCGACCGCCATCTCGACAACATCCTCTGGGACCTCTCCTCCTCCTCTGCACCGTGCTCCGCGCTCTCCTCCTCCCTCTCCTCCTCTTCTCTCACCGCCTCCCCCTCTGCATCCGGCTCAGTGGTGCACATAGACTTCACGGTGGCCTTTGACAGAGGGCGCCTGCTCAAGGTGCCAGAGCTCGTGCCCTTCCGCCTCACCACCACGCTCCCTTTCACCTGCGCTCCTCTCCCCCCCACTTCCCTCCCCCCTCCCCACCACCACCCACCAGGTACATAGCATCAACGGCCGTCACCAGCACAGCGGGCTACATCCTTGGTATCGGCGATCGCCATCTCGACAACATCCTCTGGGACCTCTCATCCCCCTCTGCATCCGGCTCAGTGGTGCACATAGACTTCACGGTGGCCTTTGACAGAGGGCGCCTGCTCAAGGTGCCAGAGCTCGTGCCGTGCCGCCTCACCACCACGCTCAGGGGCGCCATGGGGCTGCCCGGCGCTCTCTCCCCGTCCGGGCCCTTCGCCTCTGCTGCTGTGGCCGCGTTTGAGGCTATGCGGGGCGGGCTGATGGGTGGGGGCGAGTGGGGCGGTATCGGTTGCGACTGGGAAGGGTTTGCTGCTGCTGCTGCTGGGGAAAAGGCAAGGCTTGGATTAAGACAGCGTGTGGGGATGGGGGGAGGAGCGGGGAGTGCAGCAGGAGGGGGGCCGCTGCTGCCTGCACTTATGAGTGCGTTCCTCTGGGACCCTCTGGACGAGTGGGGAGGCCCGCTCGCCCCCACTGCTGCCACTGCCGCTCCCAAACCTGCTCCTGCCACCGTTGCCCCCACTGCTCCCCATCCTGCTCCTGTTCCTGCTTCGACTGCTCGTACTGGTCTTGCTCCCACTGTCCCTACTGCTCCTGCTCCTGCTGCTCCCACTGCTCCTGCTCTCGCTGCTCCTCCCCCCACATCTGCTGCTGCACCTATCAATTCACATTCACCAGCACCCGCGGCTGCAGCCATCCCACCACCTCCCCCCCCTGCAAAAGCCCTCCAGGAGGCTGCGCCTCGGCCTGCATTCCCAGGTGGTATCTGGGACGGGGCGCTACTGCCGTGGGAGGCGGAGGTGGTGACAGGCGCTGCTGCTCTGGGCGCACCCAGGGGGAGGTGCACCTGGGGAGGGTGGCAGCAGAGCAACGGCAGCAGCAGCATCAGCAGTGCTGCACGCTCAGCCAAGAGAGGGGCAATGAAAGGGGCAATGGAGGCCATGCTTGGTGCTGCCATGACACTTCATGCCTTGACTCACTCCTCCCCCTCCCCCTCCCCCTCCTCCCCCGCCACCAGTCCCTACCTCCTGGTAAGATTCCACCTTCCTCAGACCCTTCCTCCCCCATTCTTTCTTCCATTCCACCCTCCTTTCCCCACCTTACTTCCACCCTCTCTCCCCTCTCCCTTGTACGCCTAACACCCCCACCGCGGTTGTCACTTGTTCTCGTGTCTTTACCCATAACCACATGTCAAGTGCGTGTGCTTCGTCTGCTCAACCCGCCCTCCCTGCTGCTGCCCGCGAGCCCTCCTCAGCTGCACTGCACCTCTGTGCCTCTGTGCCCCACCGCTCACTTGCCTGCACACGGTTTTCTGCATGTGTGTGTTTCGTGCTGCCCATTATGCTGTACATACAGTTTCAATCCCTCGAAAATATGGGTAAGAGCACAGCACATGGTGTGTGGGTAAGAGCACAGCACGTTGTATGGGTACATACAGTCTGTGCTCTTACACACAGCACATGGTGTGCTTAGACAAACATGCTCCTCCACCTCCATCTGTGTTCTCCTTTGCTGCCCTCTCTCTTGCGTGCTGCAGACTTTGGCTCTCAGCCTATCAGATGCCGCCAAGTCAGCTGCTGCTTCTGTTCAGGTTTGACTCACATTCGCTTTCCTTCCATCTCCATCTTGTGACGCTTCGTTCACTGTTGCACCAGGGTCTAGGTCTGGGGTCTGGGGTTCTGGTTTAGGGTTTGGGGGTGGGGTTCAGTTTTTCATTGTTGGAGCATTGTTCTCGAGTCAAGTCAAGGCAATGTTCAATGAGTGGGTGGGTGTGCCGAGGGCATGGAAGGGAAGGCAGGCACCTGTCTCATTGTGTTGCTGCGGTGTTCCCTTCCATTCTGAAAAGTCTAGAAACTTGATGGCACTTCTACACATTCTGTTGTTGTTATTTTTCGAAGCCTTGGCGTTCCCTTGCTCTTAGATCTCAGCTCACCTCATTTATTTCGCGTTCTCTCTTCCGTCTTCTTATATTTCTTCTTCCACCACGTCAGCACCTTATCGAGACGTCAGAATCCAAGAATCAGGCTCGCTCCGACCTCGTAGCAGCACAGGAATCCTCCAAGAAGCTTCTTACGGAAGAGGAAGCTTCCAGGCAAGCGATGAGAGCAGCCATGGAAGCCCTCTCTCGGATCGGCGACCAGCATCGGGGGAAGGCTCGGCGCGCCGAAGCTAAGGCCGCTTCAGCCATGGATGCAGTGGGTGAGGCTCGGCGATGGCTGGACGACAAGCGGGCGGCGCTTGCTGAGCTGGCGCCGCCATTGCCGCCAGCTGTCGCTGTCTCTAGTGTTCCCACGACTAGTCAGAGTGGTGGGAGTGGGAGTGGGAGTGGTAGTGTGAGTGGGAGTGGGAGTGGGAATGGGAGTGGCCGTGGCAGCGCCCGTGCTGCTGGATGGTTGATGGGGGAGGATGTGAGGCGGTGGGCTGCTGCTGCCCTGCCCAACATGGCATGGCAGGACGGCCGTGCTGATACCACCCTGCCGTTGCTCCTCTCCTCCTCCTCATCACTATCACCAGCATCATCCTCGTTGCAGTCACCATCACTGACATCACCTCCCATTAGCAGATCGCTTTTGTCACAGCCGGTAATGTCAGCGCCTAGCAGCACACTGTCTCTTCTGGATATCGCTACCAACCCATTACCCTCCTCTGCTCCTCTGCAGCAGCAGCAGCAGCAGCAGCAGCCAACTGTACTTCCCCTCGCCGTCATCCCAGAGGCTCTCCGTGCCACCTGTCGCCAGCTGGACCTGCACGTGTGCCAGCTGGCGGCCGCGCGCTGCCGCGCCGTGCTGCGATTGGTCGGCGGGCTGAGGGCGTACGGGGAGGCAGCGGTGGTGGCAGGCGGGATGGGGGTGACGGGCGGGAGGAGGAGAGGCAGGGCGAGGGGCACAGTAGGATCTGCTGAGGAAGAAGTAGAGAAGGATGCGAGCCAAGGTGAAGTAAGATCTGCTGAGGAAGAAGCGGTTACCAGCCAACCACTGCGCGGTCTCCCCACTGCCACCACAGCTGTCTGCATGAACACGTATCTGAGCACGAGTGCTGTGAGCCGGTGGGCGCGCGCACTGGAAGCCACTGTGACAGCGGCAGGGCTGCGCGCACTGCCAACAGGGGTGGGAGAGAGGGAGATGCGGGACGAGGCGAGGGCTGCAAGAGAGGTGCTGGATGGGATGGGGCGGGTGGATGGAGGGGTGGGCAGTGGGAGGCGCGTGTGGGCGCTGCCAAGAGGTGAAGGGATGGTAGAGGGGCATGGCAGTAGCGGCGGCGTTAGCACCAGTGAGGAGCGATTGTTGGAGCGAAGGCAGGTGCTGGTGAAGGCAGTAGAGGACGCTTGGAGGGCGGTGAGCGGAGAGAGGAGTGCCGAGCAAGATTCAGAGAAGACGACAAGAATGGAGGAGGCGGAGGAGGAGGAAGGAGAGGGAGCGGAGAAGCAGAAGGGAGTGGTGAGGGAGATTGAGCGAGTGCTAGGAGGGGACGGCGGGGGAGGCGGCAACCAGGGAAGGCTGTATGCGTTGGTGACGGCTGTTGGCCTGGCAGCAGCCGCAGCAGCCGCTTCTGCTGCCGCAGGGGCTAGTACTGCTGCTTCCGGTGACAGTGATGCTTCGTGCAGAGAGGAGTGGCAGACAGAGGGAGCATGCGTTGGGACAGGAATGGAAGGAATGGACAGCGAGCTGGCGGAGGGATCAGGTGTGAAGGAATTGAAAAGAGATAGAGTGCAAGTGGGAGCACAGGAGGAGGGAGATGGAAAAGGAGTGCTGCAAGGAGAGGTGGCACGAGTGGAGGGCAGGATTTTGTTCGGCTCTGCACTGGCGTCTCTGCTGACTCAGCTGACAGCTGGCGGCGAGACACGGGGCAGTGAACACGCTGAGCTGGCGGAGGAGTCTAGAGACAAGCAGCGCGTGGCAGTGCCTGGTTCCCAGCAGCTGCCTCCCCTGCACGTGGCGTCCCAGCAGCAGCAAGAGCCAACGCTTCCCTGTCCTGCCGCGCTCCCTGCCACTCCCACCATCCCATTCTCCCCATCCTTATCACCCCGCACTCTATCAATCCCCTCTCCTTCATCCCCTGTGCCCTCCCCTCCCGCCACTCCTCCTGCCCGCTTGCCTGCACGTCCTTCACTCTCTCAAGACACTGCTCCCGATGCCGACGTTGTTGCTCCTTATGATGCTAATGTTGTTTCTCGTGATGTTTCCACTGCTGCTTCTGTTTCTGCTGCTGCTGCTTCTAGTGCTGGTTCTGGTGCGAGCACTGCTGCAGGCAGTGGTGATGTCACTGCAGAAGCAGCTGCTGCAGCAAGCAGTGAGTCAGTCACACATCATGCACACCTCATTGCTGCAGCAGGCAGTAGTGGTGCATTGATGGTTGAGGCGCCTCAAAAATCGTCAGTCACACATAATGCACACCTCATTGCTGCAGCAGGCAGTAGTGGCACAGAGTCCTCACTGGCTCCAATGGTATCAGAGCACCTTCCTGCAGTCGTTCCTCTCCCATGCTTCAGAGAATCCTTGCAAGCAGCGCTTGCCGCGCTTCATGCTGCTCGCTCCCTCTCCTCCCTCCACCTCCACCACCTGCTGCCCAGCCTCGCTCCGGGCCTAAAGTCGAGCCCTGCTTGCAAGGATCCGAGCCCGGGTACAAGCACGTCGAATGCTGCTTCGTCACCAGGAAGCCAGGCAGTTTCGTCACCTCGTGTAGCCCAGTTTTTGGAAACTTCTGACAGGATTGAGCGTCTGGTGCAGGGAGGGGGGAGGGTTGACAGCTTGGATGGTGATAGTAGAGGGGGGGAGGAAAGCAGCAGTGGTGGTGTGGGTGGTGACGTGGAAGAGGGTGACTCATGGCTGCTGGGTGCTCTGGAGGAGGAGGAGAGGGCTATAGAGCAGCTCATGGGCTCACTCCCTGCTGCTCCTGCTGCTGGTGCTCGTGCGGGTGCTGGTGCTGGTGCTGCCTCTGGTGGTGATACTGTTGGTGCTGAAGTTTCTTGTGGTAGTGATGCTGCCACTACTGCAGAGGTTGCAGGGGAGCAGCAGCAAGACAACAAGGGAACGAAGCAGTCAGCCTCTGCACCATCCTCTCCTTTCCTCGCACAGCAGCAGGAGCCGTCGCAACCAAAACCTGCTGTCTCTCCACATTCCCCTCCCACCTCCCCACCCTCTCAGTCCCCTACACCACACAAGCCTCTCAGCTCCCTTTCCCCTCTCCCCGCTCCCTTCGTCCCTTCCCCTGCCTTCTCGATCTCGTCCTCCCTCTCCTCCTCCGTTCAGCCCTCTTCCTCCCCATCCTCCCTCATCTCCTCTTCCTCCTCCCTCTCCCCCGCCCCCTCGCCGCCGCCCAAGCCCAAGTTCCAGCTGGCAGACACTGTTCATGCCGCCCCGTTCGTGCCCAGACAGGCCATGCTACACCACACTGCTGCTCCCTACTCCCCATCCCTACCTGCTGCTGCTGCTGCTGCTGCTGCCGCTGCGCCTGCTGCTCCTCCTCCTATGCCTCCCCTGTCGATCTCTTCCCCTTCAGCAACAGCAGCTGTCACGGCAGCCAAGGCAGCATCAGCCAGAGCAGCTGCTCTTGTCGCAGCTGCCGCTTCTGCTGCTGTGTCCACTGTTCCAAACCATGCTGTTGCATCATCATCACAGTCAGCACCACCATCCACATCAGCACCACCATCAGCATCAGCATTGTCATCAGCAGCAGAAGCGGCAGCTCCAGCAGTTGAAGCATCGGCACCATCGCTTTCAGGCGCTGCCGTCTCGACTCACTCTTCTCCACCCGATACTCTTCATCTCTCCTCTAGCAGCAGTTCTCTGACCCACCTCTACCGGTCGTTTGACCCTCTAGCAGCAGCCCACTCTGCCTTCCTGTCTCTCCTTCCACCCTCTGCTGTCGCTGCTGCACTTGCTTCCCCACCCGCTTCTACGGCTGCTGTAATTGCTGATTCTACTGCTGTAACAACGGCAAGAGTACCCTCCTTTCATCTACTCCATCTGCCGCTGTCAGTTCGTCTGTTTGTGGTGCGGGTGCAACTGGTGGCGGCAGTGCTGCGAGCCTGTCTGGCTGAGAGGAAGGCAGCAAACGCAGGGCGTGCTGAGGAGGGGAAGCAGGAGAGTGCTGCTGTGCTCCATGCTCATTCCGCCACCACTGTTGCCGCCAGTGGTTCAGGCAATGCTGCTGCTGCTGCTGCTGCTGCTGCTGGTTCGGGTAACACTGTGGTCGGTGCTGCAGTTGGTGCTGCTGCGGTTGGTGTTGATAGGCAAGCTCTTGAGCTCTCATCTCTCATTGGCCGGTTCTGCCAGGCTGAGGTCAGCAGGCGTTCTGCTGACGCCAGCAAGCAACACGCTGCTGACAACTCGACTTCTCCCGGGCCATCCCCACGCATGCATGCTGCACACGTGGCAGCCCTTGCTGCTGCACGCGCTGAGCTGGCGGCCTTTGATTGGCTGCACGATCCTCAGCTGCCAGCTGGCTCTGTGACACCTGTCCCTATTGCCGGCATGCGGGGAGCGAGCTCTAGTTGCTTTGGTGATGTCGCTAGTGCTGATGCTTCTGATGTTGGTAGTGGTGGTGGTATTGACAGAAGTCAGCAACAGCAGCAGCAGCAGCAGCAGCAGGCGCCACCCCCACCCCCATCCCGCACTGCCCTGCTAAGCCAAATCTGCGCCGATCTGGCCGTGGTGCTAAAGACAACGGAAGCCATCCAGATGTGGGAGGCGGCCGGCGCCACTGTAGAAGCCGACCTGGACCGGCTGCTCTTCTGGTGGTATACCACCACTTCCAGCAGCAGCAGCAGCAGCACCACCACTGGCACCACCGCCACCAGCGGCACCACCACAGGCAGCGTCACCAGAAGCAGCACCATTGGCAAGGCAGGAGCATCAGCATCATCGGCAGCACCAACCGCTCTCCCCGCATCGTACTTGGAGCGCAAGCAGCGGCGGCGGCAGGTGCTGTGGGGCGGGCACGAGGGCGTGGGGCGAGTGGTGCAGGTGGTGGGGCGAGTGCTGCAGGTAGAAGCAGGCAGGGACGGCAGGGTTATCAAGGACCCCGTTGCTGCCGTTAGTGCTGCCGCCAACGCTGCTGCCAATGCTGCTGCTTCCAGTTCTGCTGCTGCTACTGCTGTCGGCACTGCTATCAGTGCTGTCCCTGCTGCGGCTCCAGTACCTCTGTTCCCCACCGGGCTGCCAGCTGGCGGGCGGCCGGCTGCGGCAGTATATGGGCCGCTGCTGATGGACGTGGACAGAGCAGTTGCTGACGTGGCAGGTGAGAAAGGGAAGAAGGGAAGACAAGACACTGAGCTCCCTTCTCGCTTGCATCATCTTCCCTTCCCTCTTCCTCCACCATTCGCCCGCCTCCACCCCTCCTCTTTCCACTCATTTTCGAGTCATTTTGATCGTCCATCCGTCTCAAGGGTTTTACAGCCTCAAAGCCTCAAAGTCTCCAAAGCTACCCCCTCCTCACCCCCCTTCCCCCACTCGTCCAAGCAGCCTCGTCAGCGCATCTGCAGGCGGCACAGCAGGCAGAGAGGGCAGCTCGAGCGGCTCAGGTGGAAACAACAGAGGCGCGGCAGGCGGCTCAGAAGCTGGTTGACAGCCTGTCAGGTAAATTAGCAGGATTTATGGTGGCGTAACCCAATCTCAGATGTCGCAACGAGGTTCCAAGATCAATGTTTCAATGTGAATTCACCTCCAACTGCAATCTCCTTGACCAATGAGTGACTGAAACTTACCCCTGCTGTCTCAATAAAGTAGTTTTTTCTTTGCATCTCCGTTCCCCCTCTCACCTCCTTGAACCCTCCTTCCCCCATCAAAACCCCCGGTTACAGTCACACTGCAGCAACAGTCAGCCAATCACAGCGCGGCCCTTTCCCAAGCGCACCAAGCAGCAGCTGGCCTCTCATTGGCTGCTGCCAGCCTCGGCCCCTTCCTCTCCCACTCCATCATGCCACTCATTTGCCAGGTCAGTGCTGGTCAATGCTGGTCAATGCTGGTCAAGCAGGCTAATGCTGGTCAAACAAGTCAAGGAAGTCAATGCTGGTTAAGCTAATCAGGCAGGCAGGCTGTCACCATCCCTCTTTTCTGCATCGTTCCTGTCATTTCTCTCGCCTTGCCCTCCCTTTTTTTAAATCGCATGCCATCACTCTGCCTCTCCAACACTCCCAAGAATTCTTCAATGGGACATCTGATTTCTGAGGTGGCGAGAATCTCATCTCATCTCTTTCTCTTGCTCCTGAACACTCTGCTTCTCTCCAACAGGTCTTCGACGCAGCATCTGCAGTGCAGGGCTCAGTCATTTCTGTTATAATAACACCGGATATTGTCACGAGCGCAGAGAAAGTGCATTCAGAGAGCCGCAGTTTCATTGATCTGCTTGAATCGGTAAGGGCTGATAAGAGCACCAAACATTGTTGTGCTCAAGTCAGTGAGTCTATCGATACCCCACCCACCATGCTTTACCCCCCAACATGGTGGGCCCATGACGGCCATGCCATTTCGTTCGTGCACATGCACCATGCATGCATTTTGTTATGTTATGCCTTTTTTTGTTGCTGTTGTTGCTGTGTTTTTTTTTCTTTCTTTCTTTCTTTCTTTTCAATAATAATGCATTTGTGTCTCACATATCGAATCAGCAGCCATTCCTTCGCTGTTTCACACTCTTTGCATCTGTGCCTCTCAGACTATCCAACCTGCCTTTCTCTCACCCTCACTCACTCTCCCTCCCAGGTCCCTGGAGCAACATCTCCTCTTCCCTCCTCTCAACCCCACCACCTCTCCTCTCTCCTCCACCTCTCCACCTCCCTGCACCAACAATGCTCCTCCCTCCTCCCATCCATCTCCCATCTCGCACACACCACCCTCGCCTCCCTCCACACTCTCCGCCTCTCCAAGCGCTGCCACCTGGCAGCTGAGTCAGCGGCGCCAGCGGTGCGGGGAGAATTCGAGCTAGCGACGGAATCGCCGCCAGCAGGGCGGGTTTCGGTGGAAGCTCTGGATAGTGCTGTGCTGGCGGTGTGTCGGCGCGGTGAGTGCTTTGTGTGCCTCGGTGCATGCCTGCAGTCATCTTCGTTGCATATCAAAAAACACATGCGAAAAATACACTTGGTCAAATAAAGCAGGTGTCAGTGGAAGCTCTGGATGGCGCTGTGCTGGCGGTGTGCAGGCGCGGTGAGTGATGTGATGTGATGTGATGTGATGTGATGTGATGTGATGTGATGTGATGTGATGTGATGTGATGTGATGTGATGTGATGTGATGTGATGTGATGTGATGTGATGTGATGTGATGTGATGTGATGTGATGTGATGTGATGTGATGTGATGTGATGTGATGTGATGTGATGTGATGTGATGTGATGTGATGTGATGTGATGTGATGTGATGTGATGTGATGTGATGTGATGTGATGTGATGTGATGTGATGTGATGTGATGTGATGTGATGTGATGTGATGTGATGTGATGTGATGTGATGTGATGTGATGTGATGTGATGTGATGTGATGTGATGTGATGTGATGTGATGTGATGTGATGTGATGTGATGTGATGTGATGTGATGTGATGTGATGTGATGTGATGTGATGTGATGTGATGTGATGTGATGTGATGTGATGTGATGTGATGTGATGTGATGTGATGTGATGTGATGTGATGTGATGTGATGTGATGTGATGTGATGTGATGTGATGTGATGTGATGTGATGTGATGTGATGTGATGTGATGTGATGTGATGTGATGTGATGTGATGTGATGTGATGTGATGTGATGTGATGTGATGTGATGTGATGTGATGTGATGTGATGTGATGTGATGTGATGTGATGTGATGTGATGTGATGTGATGTGATGTGATGTGATGTGATGTGATGTGATGTGATGTGATGTGATGTGATGTGATGTGATGTGATGTGATGTGATGTGATGTGATGTGATGTGATGTGATGTGATGTGATGTGATGTGATGTGATGTGATGTGATGTGATGTGATGTGATGTGATGTGATGTGATGTGATGTGATGTGATGTGATGTGATGTGATGTGATGTGATGTGATGTGATGTGATGTGATGTGATGTGATGTGATGTGATGTGATGTGATGTGATGTGATGTGATGTGATGTGATGTGATGTGATGTGATGTGATGTGATGTGATGTGATGTGATGTGATGTGATGTGATGTGATGTGATGTGATGTGATGTGATGTGATGTGATGTGATGTGATGTGATGTGATGTGATGTGATGTGATGTGATGTGATGTGATGTGATGTGATGTGATGTGATGTGATGTGATGTGATGTGATGTGATGTGATGTGATGTGATGTGATGTGATGTGATGTGATGTGATGTGATGTGATGTGATGTGATGTTATTTGTGTGCGTTGTTGCTTGCTTGGAGTCACTATAGGGACTTCTGGCAAAACATTATCCAGGGCGGGTGTGGGTGGAAGCTTTGCATGGCTCTGTGCTGGCGTGGTGAGTGCTTTGCATACCTTGTTGCTTGCCTGGAAGTCTGGCTGGAACCTCTGAAAAATACATAATCCACGGGGGGTGCTGGTGGAATCTTTGCGTGGCGCTGTGCTGGTGGTGTGTTTTCGCGGTGAGTGACTTGTGGCCGCTTGAGGTATTTGCTTTGTGTCCATCTGTGTTCCTTTGTAACAAGCACTTGCCAAATATATGATTGAAGTCCCACTTCTGCTTCCTTTTTTTTTTTACCTCATTGACCTCATGGACCTTCTTGACTTGCTTGACTTGCTTGACCTGCTTGACCTGCTTGACCTGCTTGACTTGCTTGACTTGCTTGATTCAGAGGCCAAGGCAAGGCAGCATGCAGAGCAGGTCATTTTCCATCTGCAGCAGAAGCTCAACAAGCAAGACCCGCTCCTGCTCGCTGCTGCCACTCCACGGTAACATGCACATGTCCAAACAACTCTTACTCGTATTCGACCATGCTCCCTGCTCTGCTTTCCTCTGTCCTGCGTTTACTCTGGGCCTTCCTGATTTTGTTGGTGTTGTTGTTGTCTTTTTCTTTCTTTTTGGTGTTCAACGCTGTCACGTTTTTGTGCAACAGCAGCATCGACTCCACATCACAGGAGAATTCCACCTCGCAGAAAATGCTTTCGACTAAAAAGGTGGTCAGGCAATTGATGGTGGAGGCATGTAGCCCTGACAACCTATGTGAGATGTACGAGGGGTGGATGCCATGGATCTAAAGGGTTTTAAGTCGCCTTATAAGGTGTACGTAGGCTAGATGCCATGGTCCACTCCATGGATCTGATGGGTTTTGAGTGAGCTTACTTGGTGTACAGGGTTTACGATGCCATGGGTTAGATGATGAGCCCACTTGTTATATATTCTTATGTTGCGTCTTAGGCCAAAACTTTCAAGATTGCAGGGGGCAGGTGAGGAAGAACAACTGTCAAGCCATTAAGATTAGAATCACCTTATTTCTAATGTAGAGTGAGGCCACTGTACCCTCTGACCTATTTTCGTTTTGATTGGACGCGAAAGCTGACGTGCGTGATGTCTTTTCAAATTCAACAGAACCACTTCTTTCGACAGACGTGGCCCCTTTTTGGAGCAATGAAAACGTGCTGGCGGTTGTTTGTTGGATAAGCCTAGCCGAGTCCAATCGGTCAGAACTGTTCAGGTCCACACAAAGCGACAAGTGACAGATTGGTCAGGTGGAAAGCCAGACAACTCACCAGCACGCCTTCTTGACAAATAGTTTTCTCGAAACGGGTAACTGTCGCTTATATCTCCTACGCACTAAACGAGTCGACTCATTTATTTCGTAGACGAGAAGTCACGAAATTCTCGACATCCAACCCCTTGATCTTTGCGTGAGGCATATCTGGTGTGTCTAGGCCATAAGCCCGCGACTCGAGAAGGAATTAATGCTCGAACCGCGCATGTGAGCCACCCCATCATTTGATCTTAGTCAGGCCAACCACATGCCTCGCACAGTACGCCTTCGTTCCTCCTCTCCTCTCCACTCCTCTCTGCTTCACCAAACTCATCTCTCCTCCACAATCCGCCACAGTATGGCTGACGGAACAGCAAGAGAAAGGATACCTCTCCTCTGAACGCGCTGCACAGTGCGCCTAACTCCAAAGGAGTTCACTTGTAATATGCAGACTTTGCGAAAGAGGCTCGTCAAAGAGCAGTACTGTAGTTGTGACTCAAGCTGGTTTTGTTCATCTTTGTTTATCGCCCCGCAGAAGTCATCAGTCACGGGCGGCGGCTCCTCCCCTCCTGCGTGCAGCTCAGCATCGTACTGCTGGTGTAGTACCACCACTGATACACACTGTGATATGCAAGCACCCGACCCATTCTCTCAGTAAATCGTAGAAAACGGAAGATCCACTTTCTCGAGCAGGGGTAGGATCTACTCGGGAGCCGTTTCGTCGCAAGATGCGAGCATTTCACGGAAAACAGTAGCTCTCTTCAGTATTTAATACGAGGAAATCATAATCTGTGCCGGCCGCAAAGCATTCTCACGCCAAGAAGTCTCGGACTCAACACAACCGCCCATACTACGCGCCGGGCTATTAGTAGCACTGGTAGAACGATCCGACCGTCGTCCCATATTATCGCCGAGGCCTGAAAAAAAAATCCCGCCGCTGTCAGGTGTCGCAAGCGCTGATTAGCAGATTTTGTCAGCGCTACTATGGCGTCGCGCTCAACGGTCGACTCGGTTTCTCGGCGACTGTCGCGGCTCCGAGTGGCGATTGCGCTGCTGCTGCTCTTTTCGCCGCTGTCGTCGGCCAGCGGAGTCGCCATGCACAGCGGCGCACGTCTCAAAAATTGGGGGTGGGGGCAACTCACCCCCAACGCAGGTTACCACGGGGCTACCTACACTAACTTCATGCAAACTCATCCCGAACAAGACCCGAAGTCACAACCAGGTTGCAAAGTTCACCACAGACTAGGCACAGGGCCCAAATGATCCAACCGTCAACAGGCGAAGAAATTTCGCGTCGAAGCGAAATTCGCCAACAGTAACAAGCATTGGAGACATGTTACGATTGCTGAAGTCAAACCACCCCGCCAACGCATCTTGTCCAGCACAGCACAGTCGTGCTGATATTTTCTTGCAGCCTCGCTGTACTGCTGGGTCAAAAACAAAAAACCAAGTTCGCTTCCAGTCCATACACTGTACCAACACAGGCAGGTTCGGGCAGATTGCTTGCGTGGGTCGAGTGCCAGCTGACACAGGATGGCGAAGAATTTGTTTTACGGGAATCGCTGCACGCCACGTCGCATGTACTCGCCACGTCCCCACCCCCACTCACCTTCTCAACTGTTCCAACCATACCCTCGTCCCCCCCAGATATCCCTTCAAGTGTCTTGTTGCTCAATTCTTGATTCAATTGTGTTAGATGTGTCTTACATAATCCCTCGCTGTTCCTTTCTTGAATGCGCGCGTCGCGCCCATGCTGCTTCTGATTTTATTGTAGACTGCTAGTGTTATCATTTCCCACGGAATCGTCATTCTCATCGTTCGTTTCTCACATGAGTTTGCGTTTTCTGCGTGTTCCCCCTTCTGTATGTTCAGTAAATCAATTCACAACCCGAAAATGGCGCATGAGGCAGCAATTCCACCCGTAGGCGCCTCCATCGTTCACCAGTAAGTCGGTTTACATATCGCTTATCCGTCGCTCATTTTCTGCTTTGTGCTTGTTCTCTATGTGTCTGTTTACAGGATTAACCTTTTCCCGATTAAAGGCGCGTGAGGAATCGTGAAATTCGCAATCGTGAATGAGTAAGTAGGCCTTCCTAGCGCAAGTCGCCCTGTTACTTGCAGACTTTGCAACTATGGTTGTTTTGTTTGCAGATAGGTACCTGGCTGTGGGAATATTACAACTTCTCTCTTCATAAGGTGGTGTATTCAGTCTGTTCGACAGATGCTGCCGTTTTAACTAACCTCTGTGTGTTTTGCAGAGATACAGCTGGTATAAAGGACATGTTTAGTCCTGATTTCTGTTTTTGCTATTTAGGATGTAAATGCTATTTGGTCCATATACAATAGTATGTCAAGTGTTTTCATACAACTGGAGCTATGCTAGATATGTTGAGAGATGCTAAAGGATTTCTGGTATGTGATGTGTACCAATATAACAAATCTAAACGTTCCAGCATTAGTCTACATGGTATATTGTTTTTAGTTATTGTGACAATGCTATAATGTAGTCTGTTTTAATTTCATGTAAAAGCGGATTTGTGATTATATATACTGATAAACATAATGATTAGTGTTACAAATTCTGAAACAGTACACGTGGCCCAATCGGAACGACTCGCGTGAGTCGGGTGAGGGCGAACTGTGTTCAGTTCGTGGTCACATCTGCCCCCGATCTGTAGGTGACCCCGCAGGTCACATCGTGGGCAAGTGTCGACTTCGAACGTTACCCCCACGAGCACCTCGAGGTAACACACTGGAGGGTTACCTCAGGGCAAGTTTAGGGTTAGCTCGAGGTAACATCAGGGGCCCCCAATTTTTGAGACGCAGGTGCGCCGCGATTCAGGTGCGCTGCGACCCAGGTGCACAGTGCGCAGTGATTCAGGTGTGCAGGGTTGCGCTCGTGGACTACCATCTCAGCAGACTCTGCTGAAGACGGACGAATTGCGTTCCAAACCTTCTCCCGTAATTTACTCACGGGCCGCCGTCGCAACGACAGATTGAGCCTCGTCATTCTGCGCAGGTCCATCTGATGAACTCGGAGTTCAGCCTCTGGGGCGGCGATCGGACAAAATTTAGCCACGCAAGAGGCCACTGGATCGTTGCAGGTTGAATCTAGCCTTTCTGGAGCCATACAAGATTCCTGCGTGTGATGAAACGATTCTACTATAATCGTGCTATCCTATAGTATAGGAATTCTCGAAATCCTGCGAGCGCCACATTGAAATCCTTAAGTTTATCTCGAAGATCAAGCTCAGACTACCCCTCTTGTCCTTTTCTGCACGTTCTTCGCGTCGCAGAGGCGGCACTGCTACAGTTGCTCGACGACGCGCAGGTGCCGCTATCGGACTGGGCGGCGGGTCAAACGTGCACGCCGGACGGCGAGGTGCAGCCATCGTCGGAGGGATGGACGTATGTTCGCTGCGACTCCCACGGTCAACCCGTTTCGCTGTGAGTCAACGGTTCTCTTTGTGAGTCAACGCGTGTCTTTTGGACACAGATTGACCGCTCGAGTCGCAGATCACGTCGTCGTCGTGCGTCGTCGGTCAACCGTTTTCACTGCGAGTCATCCCGTGCCTCCGCGAAGCTACCCGTGTCGCTGAGATTCGGTTCAACCTCCGAGTCGCACGCACTTCTACTTCCTCAGTTTCGTTAAACACCTCTTTAACTTCTCCAACTTAGATCCTCCCTACTCGCGTTGCCGTTTTTCCTCTCTTATTCCTCCCGCTCTTCCTCTCCTCTCCCCACACACAGCGTGCTCAACTTCATGGGCCCTCATAGGGAACCGCAACCCGATCTATTGCCCCATGATTGAGGACCCCTGGGACCTCACGTTCGTGTACCTACCCCACCCCACCCCGGGTCCTCCCACCCGCAGCGTGCTCAACTTCATGGGCCTCGTGGGGAATCTCAGCCCCGAACTCAGCGCGCTCTCCGCCCTCACTACCATGTCAGTTCTGCCGCCACCATATATCCCTGCCCATGTCAGTTCCGCCGCCACCATATATCCCTGCGCATGTCAGTTCCGCCGCCACCATACATCCCTCTCCATGTCAGTTCCGCCGCCACCATATATCCTTCTTCATGTCAGCATCTCCCTCCTCCCTCCGCGCTCACTGCCATCCACGTGTGTGCTCGCCCCACCATTCGCCTCCTCCCTGTGCACTCACTCACCCATGTTAGTACCACCGATTTCCCTTGCTCAACTCCCTCCTCCAATCCATTTCCTCTTTTAACCCCTCACGACCCATCTCAACACCCTTTCACTCCCCTCTACCACTACCAGCGACCTGGGAATGAATCTCTTCAACGTGGAGCTCAGCGACTTTGTCGCCCCCCTGCTGCAGATCAAATCCGTTGCCTACATGTACGTCAATAAAGGCCCATACATTATACATGCATATACGTGGGAAAATCAGTTTTTTTTGTGTGTGTTTGTTTTATCAGTGCGACATTTCAACAACCTTTTTCGATCCTCTCATCTTGTCATTCCCATTTTTTTCATCCTTCCAGTTGAGTTCTCTAGTCGCACTTCACACCCCATTTCTAAACTCTCTAACTAAACCACCACCATTCCGCCTTCCCTCTTCCCCCCATGCTCACAGCGACCTGTCCAGTAACTACCTTTATGGCTCCGTACCAGAAGCCCTCCTCCTCATGCCCAATCTAGAACTCCTGTGAGCCTTTCTGTAATCCCATGCCTGCTTGTGCTGTGTTCCGCATTATGGTGTGTTCATGTCTCTGCCTCTGCTCCAGTATTAACTCGTCAGTCAATCCACATGTCTCTGCCTGCGCATCTATCGTTTCATCCTCCGCCTTCTCTGCGGCCCCCTCACGCCCATTTTCTTTATACGCACCTCAACATGTGCCTCCACTGCCCTTCCTCCTCTCCCTACTCTCTTTCCCCCTTCTCACCCCTTTTCCCTTCCCGCTCCCCCACCTCCCCCTTTTCCTCTCCTTTCCTCCCCCTCTCTCCCCCACCATCAGCTCCCTAGCCTCCAACTATCTCACCGGCGTTCTCCCGTCGCCTCCCTCCGTTGCCCTGAAAACGCTCGACGTCTCAGGAAACTTCTTCGCTGGTTCCTTCCCCTCCTTCGCATCTCAACTCGACGAGTGCAGCGCGGGCGGCAACTGCTTGTCTTCTTCCGGGCACTGTTCATCTGGGGAGGGAGCGGGTGGGGAGCAGAGGGGGGAGGAGGCGTGTGCGGTGTGTGGCGGGTCAATGAAGTCAATGCAAGTCAACCCATGTGGCGAGGGGAGAGTGTGTGTTGCAGAGATGGATACTGTTCCTGAATCAGAGGATGAGGCGAGGAGTGTGACTGTAACAATGGTGTGCCAAGATGGTAAGGAGGAGAACTCCAAAATGAAATTAAATAAAATAGAGCTTCCTGTCAGTCTCCCTACTTATCTACCTAGTCGTAAGCCAATATATATCACTCACATGTAATGCTCCTTTCCTTTGTTCACCGCACTATCCTCGCTCCTTCCTCGCACTTTCCTAATTCCTCCTACTCCGTCCTCAAACTTTCCTCAATCCTCCCTCACTTGTTCCTCGCGCCTTCCCTTAACTTTCTCTGTGCATCTCTTATCAGTTTCGGCTGCCGAAGAGGACACGGGCAATGAGAGCGACGATACCGATAACTCTGAGGAGGAGGATAATGAAAGTGGCGCCAGCAGCGGCAGCGGTGACAGCAGCAGTGGTGACAGCAGCAGTGGTGCTGCGAGCGATGGTGGGAGTAGTGATACCACCTCCCAGACCAAAAGCAGCGACAGCAGCACAAGTGGCAGCACTGAAGTTGACAGTGGCAGCAGCAACAGCGGTACCACCAGCAGCAGCAGCAGCAGCACTGACAGCAGCAGCAGCAGCAGCAGCACTGACAGCAGCAGCAGCAGCAAAGGGAGTGATGAGAGTGGGAGCAGCAGCCTTGTCAAGGATACAGGCACCAGTGGCAGTGGCGCTAGCACTGGTGACGGTGGTGCCAGTGGCACGATCATTGTGGGCGGCACTGATGGTGGTGATGCTAAGGGTGGCAGCAACGACGCTGAATCTGCAAAAGAATCTCCCGCAGGTGCTTCTGAGGACGGCGCGAAGAGTGGTGCGGACAGTGGTAGTGAAGAGGGGGAGGGAGGCAGTGAGGGGGGCAATGCGGTTGCTGGATCGGAAGACAAGGACGGAGAGGAGGATGAGGATGAGGGAGAGGAGGAAGGGAATGTTGAGGAGGGAGAGGACGAGGAGGAGGAGAGTGCAGTGGGAGAGAAGGGAGGCAGTGGAGGAGGAGACAAGGGAAGTGCTGAGGAAAGCAGCGGGGCCAGCCACTCAGATGGAAGTGCAAAGACTGGGGAGGAAGGTGGTACCGGTGAGAAGGTGAAGGACCAAGGGAGCAGCAGCAGCAGCAGCGGCAGCGGCAGCGGCAGCACTGTCAGCAGTGGCAGCAGCAGCAGCAGTAGCAGTAGCGGTAGCAGTGGCAGCAGTAGCAGCAGTAGCAGCAGCAGTAGCAGTGGAGGTAGCAGCAGCAGCAGCAGCAGCAGTGGCAACAGTACCAGCGGTGGTGGATCAAAGGGGGGCAGCAAGGGCAAGGGAGGAGGCAGCAAAGGAGGCAGCAGCAGCAGCGGCGACAGCAGCAGCAGTGGCAGCAGCAGCAGCAAGACAGAGGGGGGACTTGGGGACGAGGCAGCACCTAAGGAAGGTTCAACTGGGGCAGGTGCAAGTGCGGGGGGAACCAATGCAGGCGATACCAAAGCAGGCAGTGAGACAGGGACAGGGACAGGAACGAAGAAGAAATGTAACAAGAGGATCAAATGCCCCAAGAGCGCGTGTGGGGGGCGGCGGAGGCGATGTGTTCCGTACTACAGAAGCTGCAACGGCTACAAGTGCTTGTGATTTGAACTCAGGCAACGAGACAGGGACAGGAACAGGCAACAAGGTGTGAAGGGGGGGGGGGGGGGGGGGGGGGGGGGGGGGGGGGAGAGGCGATATGTTCCCTACTACAGAAGCTGCGACGGTTGCAAGTGCTTGTGATTTGAACGTGCAGTGCTGGTGTTTGTTCCAGGACAGCAGCAAACACCTCGTTGCACCACCCCCAACCTACCTGAAGGCCGCAGCTGCTGCCAGCAGGTGGAAAGACCCATCAATCAGTCAGCACGTAAAGACTCTGCCACAGAGCCTCCCTCCGTGAGGGACCCTCACCCCAAGCAAGATTCAAGATATGTTGTCACGACCGTATATGTGTATCCATTGGCTAGGTGTGGTGTATAATGTAATAGAGCGCTGGTTGTATGATGTGTATTGATATTGTAAATTGAGAACCTGTGCCACAATAATATACGTAATAGAGAGAGGACAGAAAAAAATATATACGTAATATCAAATGTACATGTAAGGCAACTGGAGATACCAGAAAGCTTGTTATAAAGAACACGATGTGACACTGATAGGTACTGGTAGTACCGAAGCTAGCAGCTGTACAAATCTTGTAAGAGAAAAGCAGCAAACTGAAACACAAAATTGGATCGATGCAATTCACTCGTTGGTTGGATGGGTGCAAGTGTCCACACACACACCCTTCCAGCCAGCACACATGAGGCTGCAGATTGGAATCATTCGAGGCACCTCAAAGGTAGGCTGCAGGCTGAGATGTGGGCCATAAGTATAAGCAGAGTGTTCCTTTCCTGCCTCCACAACATGTTGCAGTCACGACTGTCACGGTACCACTCATGATCTTCATGCAATGCATGCTCCTCCTGCTCCTCCTGCTCCTCCTGCTCCTCCTGCTCCTCCTGCTCCTCCTGCTCCTCCTGCTCCTCCTGCTCCTCCTGCTCCTCCTGCTCCTCCTGCTCCTCCTGCTCCTCCTGCTCCTCCTGCTCCTCCTGCTCCTCCTGCTCCTCCTGCTCCTCCTGCTCCTCCTGCTCCTCCTGCTCCTCCTGCTCCTCATGCTCCTCCTGCTCCTCCTGCTCCTCCTGCTCCTCCTGCTCCTCCTGCTCCGCCTGCTCCTCCTGCTCCTCCTGCTCCTTAGTCAAACCGCCGCACCTTCACCTTGCCCATCAAATTCCACCCCACTCCCTCCTCCATGTCTCTCCCCTCCAAACACTCTCTATTCCCTTCCCCTTATGTCTCCCTCCCCCCTCCTCTCTCACTCCACCATCTCGAGCACCTTCACATCGCCCATAGAATTCGCCGCGACAAGGGAGTGAGTGCCTTTGCGCCAACACACGCTGCTCACAAAGTGCCCTGCGTCCTCTCCCCCCGCCCTCCCCGTGACAGCATCCACAGCCCCAAATCGATGGCACGTTATGGGAGCAGGCACACTCCTATGGTACACATACGCCTGGAAGAAAGCAAGGAAGATGGAACGGGAGGAGGACGGAAAAGCAGGAGGAAGGGAGGTTCAGTCTCCACGGCATGGCAAAGCGTGGCAGGCCATGGCATGTCGTGGCATGGCGTGGTGTGGCAAGACATGGCATGTCGTGGCATGGCGCGGTGTGGCATGACATGGCATGTCGTGGCATGGCGTGGTGTGGCATGACATGGCATGTCGTGGTGTGGCATGACATGGCATGTCGTGGCATGGCATGGTGTGGCATGACATGGCATGTCGTGGCATGGCGTGACATGGCATGGCTCATGTAATGTGTATAAAAAAAGTGCACGGCATTCGCAAGTAATGCGTTAAAAAAGTATAACCCTCGCAAAAACAACACATTCGCAAATCTCGACTGTGCAGCACCGCACTGCATCACACCGCACTGCACAATACAGCTACTCACCGAGTTGTTCTCGGAGCCGCATGCAATGTACCCCGATTCAGACACGGACAGCCCCACAAAGTTCTGCAAGGGGGAAGAAGGCGAGTAGAGGCACCAAACACACAGGATGAGGGCACAATGGGAGAGAGAGGGGAAGGTGAGAAGCCTAGAATGGAATCCAAGTTGATGATTTTACGTGTGCAAGACCAGATAACGGAGGGAGGAGGAGAGGAAACGGGTGCAACTGCGGATTGATAGGAAGAGAGGAACTAGGCTCAGCACTCGGCAAAATAGGAATCAGCATTGCTTCCACGTTACCCGCTCTCCCAATCAATCCCCTCCACCCCTTCCCTTCACACAACCGCCAAAGCCTTTCCCATGCCCCTTCTCGTCTCGTCCCTTGTCCCCCGCCTCTCGCTCACCTTCTCATTCACATGCCCCGACAGTGTCAGCACACACGGCGCCACGCCCCCCTGGCCGGGATGCCTCTGCTGCTGCTGCTGCAGTCCCATCACTGACCCATCCCCAGCACTCCCCAGGACGTCCCTCAAGTCCCACACGCGCAGCGTGTTATCAGTGGACGCGGAGACAAGCGTGAGGGGGTCCGCAAAGGCGACGTAGGACACGGCGCGGGAGTGGCCGGGGAGCGTGGCGAGGGGCGAGCGCAGCTTGCGGAGGTCGTAGAGGGCGAGCTTGAAGTCGGCAGAGCCGAGCGCGAGGATGTGCGAGGAGGCGGGCGAGAAGTGCACCGCACACACGTTGGCCCGCGTGCGGATGGTGGCCACGCTGGAGTCCTTGTATTGGTTGGAGGGAGGGGGGAATCGGGGGTGGAAATGATGGGGTGAGAAGGGGGAGACAAGGGAAGGTGGAGGAGGAGGGGGTGGGGAAGGGGGGGAGGGCGGGTTGGTGGGAAGTGTGGGGGAAACGAAAAGCAAGGGACCGAGAGAGGCTTGCAACAAGCAGGAGGCACCTGGCGAGGCGGTTGACGAAGCTGCTAGAGAGAGAGAAGATCAAGCATGCAAAATGAAACTGGTGAGAGCATGCTACCGGTATGAAAAGGCTGCAAATGTCGGTAGCTCACTATACCTGCTGCAGACTCCAGATGCGCACGCAGCCGTCATCGCTGCCGCTGGCGAGCTTGGTGGGGTCGGTGGGCGCACAGTGCACACTCCACACTCGCCTCTCGTGCTCCCTGTACTCTGCAATCGCCTCGCCCGCACACACGTCCCACACCTGGAATGAACACAGGGAGATAGAGCGGAAGGGGGATGGGGGTAGGTAAGAGCACAGTGCACACTCCACACTCGCCTCTCGTGCTCCCTGTACTCTGCGATCGCCTCGCCCGCACACACATCCCACACCTGGAGATGGAAGGGAGAAGATGGAGGAGAGGAAATAACTCTTTAGGTGACTGGAGGAGAATAATAAGCAAAGCTCACTCGCAACTCTCCATGAATGCACACTCTCCCATCTCTCAGCCACACCATCTTATTCCTAGCCACTCCACGCCACCCCATGCCATGTCATGCCATGCCACGTCATCCACATGTACCCTTCCCCCTCACCTGCACGGCGCCGTCATAGTTGGAGGAGGCCACAAGGCTCTTGACAAAAGGGTTCCAGCTCACACAGCTCAGCTTCGAGTCGCACGCCATCTCCGCCACTGGATACTGCAGTAGCTCCTCCTCATGCCCCTCCTCCACCCCCCCCTGCCCCTCCTCTTGCCTCGCCTGCCCCCCTTCCCCTCTCCGCACTCCTCCGCCTCTCCCCCTTCCAAACCCCTCCCCTATCCCCGCTCCACCTGCTTCTCCTCCCTCCAGCTCCCCCTCCTCGTCTACCTCCATCCCATCCCTCACTTCCTTCACCCGTGCCCCTCTCTCAGCAGCAGCGCGCAGCACAGCATTGCAGTCAAACACCTTGATGCGCTTGCACACGCCCGCCGAAGCAAAGAACTCCCCGTCCCGGTCGAACGCCACCGAGCACACCATGTCTGCCGAGCCTAGCAGGTCGCCTCGGCGCAGCGCCGCCCGAACCTGCAGCTTGCCGAACCTGGTGTAGCGGGAGAGGCCCTCGAAGAAATGCCCCAACCAGGGCTGTGGTGGGCGGGTGGTGACTGGTGCAGGTGCCACTGGTGCAGGTACTGCTGCTGCTGTTGCTGCTACTGCTGGTGCTGGCGCTGGTGCTGGTAGCTCTGCTGCTGCTGGAGTTACTGCAGCTGCTATCGCCTCTGCTGGTGCTGCCGGTGCCGGTGCTGTTGACGCTGCTGGTTCACTCAATAGATTAGCTGCCGGCAGTCTTGCAGCATGTGAAGGCTGAGAATCAGCCTCAGCTGGCGTAGCAGCAGGGACGGGGTGAGAAGGCCCAGAAAGCCTGAGCCTCGCGCGCTCAGCTTCTCCCAGCACTTCACCCCGACCATCAAAGCGACCTCCTCCTCCCACCCGCCCCTCTGTATCAACAGAAAACAGAGTCCCATGCGTGCCCCGTGTGGTGGTCGGTACATTCAGGATGCTATCCACCACGAAACCACCACCACCACCGGCACCACCACCGGCAGCACCACCAGTGCCACCAGCCCAGCTGCCTCCTCCACCAGACGAGCTCTGCTGCTGCCAGCTGTGCTGCTGCGCCGCTGCTGCCGCCGCCGCACGTTCCCAAACAGGGGGCGTTCTGCTCCTCTCGCTCTGCTTCCCTCCATTCCACCTTCTCGTATCCCGACCTCCCTCCCCCCTCCTCCCCTCCTGCCCCATGCTTGTGCCGCCAGCACCCTCCTGCCTTGTAGCGTCCAGTGCCGGTTCCGTCTTCTCTCTGCTGCTGGCGCTGGTGGTGCTGGCATGCTCATGCAGCGCTCTCCGCTTGCTGTAACCCCTCTCCTTTCTAAACTCTTCCCCTCCCACGCTGCTGGTGTGCCGCTTCCGCTCGGAACGAGACGCAGGGGCAGGGATGGACCCAGGAGCAGCAGACTCAGCACCCCCAGCACCCCCAGCACCCCCAGCACCCCCAGCACTCCCAGCAACACCAACACCACCTGTGGCATCACCACCGCCACCACCAGCATCAGCATCATCAGCAGCCGCAGAGGCAGGGCCCAGCGCAGATGACGCCCTTAGACTCGCGTCCGTACAAGCAGCTCCACCAGCTGCCCCTGTACCTGCTGCTGCCGCTACCGCTGCAGCGGTGGCTGTAGCTGCAGGTGAAGCAAGGGCAGCACCTCCTCCTGCTACTATCTCCGCTACACCACCCGCAACCATGGCACCATCCCTTGCACTGCCACTCCTGCTATCCCCGCCAGCTGCAGCACTGGTCCCAGCACCCCTCTCTACAGTCACATCTTGTCCCAGCGTCCTCACCGTTTGAAGCACACAGCCCAGCCGCCCCCACACCTCTTGCATGTGCCCCTCGTCTGCCCCATCCCCATCCCTCCCTGCAGCTCCCCCTACTGCCCCCCCATCTGCGCCCACACCTGCCCCCCCAACTGCACCCACACCTGCCCCACTAGCCGCCCTTCCCCGTGCAGCCCAGTAGGAAAAGGCACCTTCCGACCCTCCTGAGAGAGTTTCCTCTGCAGAGGTCTGCGCCTGAAGCAGATACTGCTGCTGCTGCTGCTCACTGCCCCCTGTGTGCCCATGCGTATGTGTATGTGCATGTGCATATGAGAGAATATGTGACTGATCAAGGGCTGTTGGAGAAGCAACAAATGCCCCCGCAGGCCCCATGGCCCACTGCCGTCTCAGCCACGCCTTGGCAGCTTCTGGAAGGTTCTGCCAAGCTTCCTCTGCAGCTGTAGCGCCTGCTTCTGCTGGTGCACCACGAGCTACAGCCGGTGCTGTGCCAGAAGCTGCTGCTACAGCAACAGCAGCAGCAGCAGCAGCAGCAGCAGTCGAGGCTACTGTAGCACCAGAGGCTACAGCTGCTGCTGTATCCTCACTGAATGCGGCTGCCCCAGCACTAGCTACAGCCGCAGCACCCGAAGGCAACGAGGAGTTGCCAGGTGCACCAGCACCAGCCAAAACGGCACCAGCACCTGTAGCAGCAGCAATAGCAGCTGTAGCAGCGTCCATGGCCGCATTTGTGGCAGTATCTGCAGCGTTATCTGTAGCAGCAGCGCCCGTGCGGGCACGGACGGCAAGGTACGCCTCTTCCAGCCTATCAAAGCGCTGCAGCATGCGGTTCAAACGCCCCCCTACCCTCCTCTCATACACCACCCGCATCCGCCGCTCCTCTTCTCTCTCCCTCGCCCCCTCGCTCCCCCCCTCCCTCTCCCTCGAGCTAGCCCGCATGGGCACTGTAGCACCTGACTGCGTTTGGCTGCGTTGACTTGGTTGACTTCGTTGACTCCTCCTGCTTGCGTTCCCCTGCACCTGAGGGCTTTTTGGCAGGGTAGCTGGAACTGGAGCTCTCGTCCGCGTTGACTTTGTTGACTTGCCTGACCTGGCTGACTTGGTGCTACGGCAGGACGTTCCAGCCTGGCCGCTTCCCAACCTCTCTCCTTCGCATCCTCTCCCTCCCTCGCCTCCTCCATCTGCTGCCCTGCCTTGCCCAGCACCCAGACAAAGCCGGGTGCACTCCTCCCCCCTGCCTCTCATGCCCTGTAAAGCTGTTCCCCCCCCCGCCTGTGCTGCTCCTCCCTGTCTTACACCCCCACGCATCCCCACTGCACCCTCCTCTTCTATCCGCTGCCTTTGGCCCTGTCTCCACCCACTCCCACCACCGTTCCTGCTCTCCCCCCTCGCCCCTACCCTGGCATCTGATGCATCTCTTTCTTGATCCGCCTCTCTTACTGCAGCATCCGTTTCGGCTCCACTCCCAGTGCCTGGGTTCGTGAATTGGCGCGCGCTGATAGGCCGAGACAGCGCCAGCAGCAGCTGCCTCCTCTCAGCAACCTCCGCCACGTCAGCAGAGAGCCCGTCCAAATTGGCGGCCACCTGCTGGGAGGTCTCCGCCTTCCCCTGCTGCACCCTCAGGAGAAAATCCAGGAGCACCTCGTTCTCCTCCTCCCTCTCTGCCAACTCTGTCTCTGTGAGCATTTCAGGCGGATCAAGACTCAGCTCCTCCTCCTGTCTCAGCGCTTGAGGCGACTGCACCAGAGGCTCCTCCTGTGGCAATGAAGCAGGCTGACGCTGATGACCACGTAGGGGCTCCTCCTGTGTCAGCCCCACATCTGTCCGCTCCTCACACCGAACCCTCTTGCTCCCTCGCATCCCCACTGCCTCCCCTCCTCCCTCCTCTTCGTCTTCCTCTTCCTCCTCTTCCTCCTCTTCCTCCTCTCCCTCTCTGCCACGCGTACTTTCCCCATTGTCTTCCCCACCGCCACCAGCCCCTTCCCCCCTCTCTTCCGTCTCCTGCGCCCTTTCTCGCTTTCTACTCAACTCAAGAGTACCAGTAAACGCATAGCCTCTAGCCCCCTCCCCAAACAAACCGCCACGAGCAGCAGCGCCCTCCCGCCCTCCTTCCTCTTCCTCATCTTCCTCCTCCTCCACCTCTTCTCTCTTATCCTCCACCTCTTCTCTCTTATCCTCCACCTCTTCTCTCTTATCCTCCTCCCCCTCTCCCTGTCCACCACGCCCACCACCATCTAACTCCGCATCCTCACCACCCTCAGCACCCTCTTCACCTTCATCCTGCATCCAATGAAGACCATCGTCATCCCCATCGCTCACTTCCACCATGGGTTCCTTGCCTGGCCTGCGCTGCCACGGCCCCTCCTCTTCCTCCTCTTCCTCCTCTTCCTCATCTCCCCCATCTCCCTCCTCTCCCTCCTCTCCCTCCTCTCCCTCCTCACGCCCCTCCACATCCCTGCTAACGCACACACCGCCGTCAACAGTACCATCATGCCCTTCCTGCCCCTCCTGCCCCACCTGCCTCTCCTGCTCCTCCTGCCCCTCCTGCCCCTCCTGCCCCTCCTGCCTCTCCTGCTCCTCCTGCCTTTCCTGCTCCCTCTCCTCCTCCACCTGCCTCTCCTGCTCCTCCTGCCGCTCCTGCCCCTCCTGCTCCTCCTGCCTTTCCTGCTCCCTCTCCTGCTCCCTCTGCCTTTCCTGCTCCCTCTCCTGCTCCTCCTCCTGCTCCTCCTCCTGCCCCTCCTCCTGCTCCTCCTCCTGCCCCTCCTTCCCCTCCTGCTCCTCCTCCTCCTCCTTCCCCTCCTGCTCCTCCTGCCCCTCCGCGTCTCCTTGCACTTCCGGAACTTGCTGGGTTGAGAATGACACGGACAGCTGGCACTGGGGGGAGGAAGCTGCGGCGGAAGCTTCTGCAGCGAGGCGGAGGAAGAGGCTGTTTGTGAGAACATCCCTGAGGAGGGGAGGGATGGGTGCGTGAGGGATGGGTGCGTGAGGGATGGGTACGTGGGGGATGGGTACGTGGGGGATGGGTACGTGGGGGATGGGTACGTGGGGGATGGGTACGTGGGGGATGGGTACGTGAGGGATGGGTACGTGAGGGATGGGTACGTGAGGGATGGGTACGTGAGGGATGGGTACGTGAGGGATGGGTACGTGAGGGATGCGTACATGAGGGATGGCAGAAGAGAGGTGGGCAGAGGGGCTGTACGTACTTGGGCATGCATCGAGCTGACTCTAAATTGAACAAATAAACACTATCACACCAGTGCGTGCATGCAAGCGTGTATGGGCGCCTACACGTAGGGGTGTCAAGGGCAGGAGCGCAGCAGGCAGAGGCTATAATGCATTCATGAAATCTCAAAAGCAAGTCACGAGAGAATCACAGGCATACCTCATGGTTGGGCGTCTGCAGGGCACGGGGTGCAGCAGGCAGAGGCAGAAGGCAGCGCCGGTGGGGAAGGCCATGAGGAATGATGTGGGCAGCACTCGGCTCCTCACATCCTCCATTGCACTGCTGCGCTCCGACTGGTCGCTCATGTGACACGTCAGCTGCAGCGGTAGGCAACATTGGGAGCGTTAAGGAAAGAACCGTTCAGTGAAACATAGAAACGAACATAGAACAGAAGGATGAGCAATGATAGAAACAAATGACGGGATCCCATCCTCATAAACTCTGACTTCAATAGTAACTCGGTCGGACTTGCTGTCATCTCCCAACGAGGTGGTCTGGCTTACCTCAAAGAACAACAACCCCAGCCGGTACACATCCGCTGCCATCTCCCTCTCCCTCACAGTATTCATTATTGGCACGCCAAAAAAAACGAGTGCCTTACCTCAAAGAACAGCATCCCCAGCCGGTACACATCCGCTGCCATCTCCCTCTCCCTCTCTGCATCTTCCCCACCCTCTGCCTTCCCACTCCCTGATCCCCCCTCCAGCGCCGCGTAATACTCTCTCTCCTCCTCCTCCTCCTCCTCCTCCCTCTCCTTCTCCTGTCGCTCCACCACGACACCCTCTCCCTCCCTCAGGCGTTTCTCCTCCTTACTGCAGCCAGCAGCAGCGTTGGGAGCACAGCAAGAGGGCAGCAGCCAGTGCTGGGGCCCGAGGGTTACTCTGATACTAGATGGCCGCAGCTGATCTCCTAGTGCCTCGCCGTTCGCATGGGCTGCTGCCACCAGCCGAGCTATCTCACAGAAAACGGACACTGCTTGCTGCTGGATAGGCACTGCTGGTGGTAGTCCAGGGCAGTTGCTGGCAGTCGTTGCTGCGCCTTCGCGCTCGTGCTGCTGCTGCTGCGTGTGAAACAGCGAGAGGAAGCGCCGGAGAGACAGCACGTGCTCATGGCGGGTAGGGATGGACGCTTTTGATGCCCCTCTTCCTCCTGCTGCGTCCTTCGCTTCTGCTTCTGCTGCTTCGCCTGCTACTTTGTCTGCTGGTCGTGAGTGGCAGGAAAGAGCCGATGATCCAGAAACAAGCTCACGTACGTGCCCGCCCTGGTGCTCCTGCTCCCGCTCCTCCTGCTCCCGCTCCTTGCCCTCTTGCCCCTGCTCCAAATCCCGTCCCTCCTCCCCCTTGACCTCCTGCTCCTCCTTCACTTGCTGCTCCGCCTGCTGCTTTCGCCACCGTTGCTGGTGCTGCGTCAGCCAGTTCACCACACGTGAGCGTGCTCCAGGCACAGGAGGATCCACCAGCAACGCATCAGGCCCTGAAGAGTGGTGCCCTGAGGAGTGGGGAGCTGGCGAGTGGGGCCCTGAGGAGTGGTGCTCTGACGAGTGGGGAGCTGGCGAGTGGGGCCCTGAGGAGTGGTGCTCTGACGAGTGGGGAGCTGGCGAGTGGGGCCCTGAAGCCCTCTCCTGCTTCTCCACCTCTACTCTCCCCTTCTCAAACCACTTTTCTGTCTCTGTAGCGCCCAACTCAAGACCCAGCGACAACCCAACCATGCCTCCCCCCACCTGCTCCCCCCCACCCGATTCTCCTCCACCCAGACCGCCTTCACTCCGTTGACTCTGCTGAATCTGCTGTGCCCCACACGTTCCTCCCAACCCCAGATCCAAGCCCATGTCTGCTGCCTCCTCTGCCTCTGCATCAAGCCACATGTCTGCCTCTGCCTCTGCGTTCATGTCTAGCAGCAACAGGTGCGCACCTGGCCTCGCCTTGCTGCCACTTGCCACACCAACACGCTTACTTGCCGCACCGTGGTTGTCACCCACCCCGTCCGCAGTTGCAGCAACAGCAACAGCAACAGCAGCAGCAGCAGCAGCAGCATGAGCGTCATAGTGAGCAGCGGAACCAAAACCGTTATCATCCTGAGGTTCGGAAGCAGCCCAATGACCAGCACCAGCGTCAACAGCAACAACGGCAGAAGAACAGCCGTTTTTACCCTCAGGCTTGGCAGCAGCAGCACAGTGGTCATCAGCACCAGCGCCAACACCGACAACAGCAGAAACACAGCCGACTTCACCCTGAGGCTCGTCAGCAGCAGCACAGCGGTCAGCACTAGCAGCGCCATCGCCCTCTCCATCCGCCCATGCTTCCCCCACCTGCTCCTCATTCAAGTCAAACGCGAGCCGCCACTCCTCGCCCCCACCCTCTCCACTCGTCCCTTGCTCTGCTACCGCGTCCCCACCGGCTGCAGCACCCACACCGCCACCACCACCATTAACATTTTCATCCCCACCACCATTAACATTTTCATCACCACCACCATTAACATTTTCATCCCCACCATCGCCATCCTTTCCACTCCCACCTCCTCTAGGGGCGTCCTCGTGAGAATCATAATCCATGCCAAAATCGGACTCAAAACCCCACCTCTCCATCGATCCTTCTTCTGAATTCCCCTCCACCATCCTAGCAGCTTCAGTTCCCTCCATAGCCACGCCTTCGGCAGCAGTACCAGCAGCAGCAGGAAAAGAAGCAGCAGCCGTAGCATCTGCAGCAGCAGAAGCACCTGCAGCATCCTCCCTAAGCACATGCCCTCGTTCCCCTCCCACCAACTCCTCGTCCTCCTGCTCCCTCCCTCCTTCTCCCTGCTCCCTTTCCCCCTCTCCTTGCTCCCCCCCCATCGCAGATGCAGCAGGGGTGCCTCCGCGAGCCTGTGAGGCACTGCCCACATGCGCCAAGTCCTCCTCACCTCCTGCTCCCGCACTGCCTTCTCCCCTCTCTCCCCTCTCTCCCCTCTCTCCCCTCTCTCCCCTCTCTCCCCTCTCTCCCCTCTCTCCCCTCTCTCCCCTCTCTCCCCTCTCTCCCCTCTCTCCCCTCTCTCCCCTCTCTCCCCTCTCTCCCCTCTCTCCCCTCTCTCCCCTCTCTCCCCTCTCTCCCCTCTCTCCCCTCTCTCCCCTCTCTCCCCTCTCTCCCCTCTCTCCCCTCTCTCCCCTCTCTCCCCTCTCTCCCCTCTCTCCCCTCTCTCCCCTCTCTCCCCTCTCTCCCCTCTCTCCCCTCTCTCCCCTCTCTCCCCTCTCTCCCCTCTCTCCCCTCTCTCCCCTCTCTCCCCTCTCTCCCCTCTCTCCCCTCTCTCCCCTCTCTCCCCTCTCTCCCCTCTCTCCCCTCTCTCCCCTCTCTCCCCTCTCTCCCCTCTCTCCCCTCTCTCCCCTCTCTCCCCTCTCTCCCCTCTCTCCCCTCTCTCCCCTCTCTCCCCTCTCTCCCCTCTCTCCCCTCTCTCCCCTCTCTCCCCTCTCTCTCCCCTCTCTCCCCTCTCTCCCCTCTCTCCCCTCTCTCCCCTCTCTCCCCTCTCTCCCCTCTCTCCCCTCTCTCCCCTCTCTCCCCTCTCTCCCCTCTCTCCCCTCTCTCCCCTCTCTCCCTCTCTCCCCTCTCTCCCCTCTCTCCCCTCTCTCCCCTCTCTCCCCTCTCTCCCCTCTCTCCCCTCTCTCCCCTCTCTCCCCTCTCTCCCCTCTCTCCCCTCTCTCCCCTCTCTCCCCTCTCTCCCCTCTCTCCCCTCTCTCCCCTCTCTCCCCTCTCTCCCCTCTCTCCCCTCTCTCCCCTCTCTCCCCTCTCTCCCCTCTCTCCCCTCTCTCCCCTCTCTCCCCTCTCTCCCCTCTCTCCCCTCTCTCCCCTCTCTCCCCTCTCTCCCCTCTCTCCCCTCTCTCCCCTCTCTCCCCTCTCTCCCCTCTCTCCCCTCTCTCCCCTCTCTCCCCTCTCTCCCCTCTCTCCCCTCTCTCCCCTCTCTCCCCTCTCTCCCCTCTCTCCCCTCTCTCCCCTCTCTCCCCTCTCTCCCCTCTCTCCCCTCTCTCCCCTCTCTCCCCTCTCTCCCCTCTCTCCCCTCTCTCCCCTCTCTCCCCTCTCTCCCCTCTCTCCCCTCTCTCCCCTCTCTCCCCTCTCTCCCCTCTCTCCCCTCTCTCCCCTCTCTCCCCTCTCTCCCCTCTCTCCCCTCTCTCCCCTCTCTCCCCTCTCTCCCCTCTCTCCCCTCTCTCCCCTCTCTCCCCTCTCTCCCCTCTCTCCCCTCTCTCCCCTCTCTCCCCTCTCTCCCTCTCTCCCCTCTCTCCCCTCTCTCCCCTCTCTCCCCTCTCTCCCCTCTCTCCCCTCTCTCCCCTCTCTCCCCTCTCTCCCCTCTCTCCCCTCTCTCCCCTCTCTCCCTCTCTCCCCTCTCTCCCCTCTCTCCCCTCTCTCCCCTCTCTCCCCTCTCTCCCCTCTCTCCCCTCTCTCCCCTCTCTCCCCTCTCTCCCCTCTCTCCCCTCTCTCCCCTCTCTCCCCTCTCTCCCCTCTCTCCTCTCCCTCTCTCCCTCTCTCCCCTCTCTCCCCTCTCTCCCTCTCCCTCTCTCCTCTCTCCTCTCTCCCCTCTCTCCCCTCTCTCCCCTCTCTCCCCTCTCTCCCCTCTCTCCCCTCTCTCCCCTCTCTCCGCTCTCTCCCCTCTCTCCCCTCTCTCCCTCTCTCCCCTCTCTCCCCTCTCTCCCCTCTCTCCCCTCTCTCCGCTCTCTCCCCTCTCTCCCCTCTCTCCCCTCTCTCCCCTCTCTCCCCTCTCTCCCCTCTCTCCGCTCTCGTCCCTCTCTCCCCCATGTCTCGGGCACTCCACATCCTGCCCCTCCTGCCCCTCCTCGCGCATTTCCTCCTCCTCGCCCTCCTTCCTCTCTGCTTGCTCTCCCACTTCACCTCTCGTCTCAGCTTCTCTCCTCTCCTGCTCGCCCTCCCGTTCTCCCCCCTCCTCTCCCTCCTGCGCCCCATTCCTCTCTCCCTCCTCCGGAGCTCTCTCCCCGCCTCCTTCCCCCTCTCCCTCCCGCTCTCCCTCCGTCGCTCCCTCCTGTCCCCCCTCCCTCTCCCGCTGGGCCTTCTCCTTCTCCGCGAGCTCCATGGCCAGAAGCTGCTGTAGCTGGTACTGTTCGAACTCAAACAACTGCTGCTGCCTCTGCCGCAGGAAGAAAAACTCCCACTTGCGCCTCCGCTCCTCCCTTGCCTCCTCGTCCTTCCCCTCCTCCCCCTCCCCCCCTTTCCTCCCCTTCCTCCGCCACTTCCTCTCCCTCTTCCCCATCCCTCCTCTCGTTCTCACCTGCCGCATTCTGCTCCCCTTCAGTTTCTTCCTGTGTCGCCTGTCCTCTCTGCTCCTGCGAGCCGTCTATCTGCTCCTCTCCCTGCTCCTCTCCCTGTACTCCATTCCCTGCCTCCTCCCTCTCCTCTGCGTGCTCTATCTCTTCTCCACCTTCCCCCATCCCCCCTTCACCCCCCATCCCATGTTCCTCTCCCTCACCATGCATCAGCACCAGTTGCTGCAACCCCGCATCTTGCATCTGCTGCAAAGCCCTCATTTCCTGCAGCCCTCTCCCTTGCAGCACGTTTCCCACTTGCTGCAGTGCCATCTCTCCCACTTGCTCCCCTTCCCCTTCCTCCTCTGCCCCCCCTTCGCTGCCCTCTCCTTCCCCGAGCTGCCAGCGCTGCTGCTGCTGTAGCTGCAGCTGTAGCCGCTGCATCCGCAGCAGCCTCTCTTGCTGCAGCTGCAACAGCCGCTGCCTCAGATACTGAATCTGCATCTCCTCAGGTGAATCGTCCGCTACATCTGCTGCTACATCCCCTGCTAATTCGGCTGCCCCTGCTTCATCACCCTCCTGCTCCCCTTCTCCTCCCCTTCCCATTTCCTCCTCGCCCCGTTCCATCTCTTGCCCTTCCATGCCCACTGCAGCAAGTTCCAGACCTTGGCGTTCCTGCCCCATGCCCCACTGCTGCTCCGCCGGACCGTCTTCCCCCCATCCCACGGAAGTCACTCCCTCTAACTCCTGCTGTCTTCTCAACCACTCTCGCTCCTCCTGCCCCGCACTCGGCAATTCCTCTTGCCCCTCCCCTTCCCCCTCCTCGTGCCCCTCCTCCTCTTGCCCCGGGCCCCAGCTTTGCTGCAATTCTTGCTGTGGCGCCTGCTCCTCGTCCTCCTCCTCCTGCTCCTGCTCCTGCACCTGCTGCAGCTCCTGTTGCATTTCAATTGCCTCCCCTTGCACTCCCTCCCCTTGCACTCCCTCCTCTGGCCCTCCCTCCAGTAGCCCTTGCTGCTCTTCCCACAGCCGCCACTGCTCCCACTCCCTCTGCGCCTCATCTTCGTTTCCTCCTCCCTCCCTCGCTGGTCCGCCCACCCCCTCTCCCCCTTCGCCCTCATCCGCATCCACAGCCCCTGCTGGGGCTTCCCGCTGCTGCTCCTCGTCCCTTCCACCTCCATCCTCCCATCCCAACCCTTGTTGATCTGAACTCTGCTGCATCTCTGCTTCCTCTGCTGCTGCACCCAGCATCATCTGCTGCTGGGCCTGCATGCGTTCCTGCTGCCCTTGAATACCTCCATGCTGCCCCTGCATCTCCTGCTCCTGCCTTTCAGTCTCCTGGTCCTCCTGCTGCTGCATCTCCTGCTCCTGCCTCTCAGTATCCTGCTCCTCCTGCCGCTGCAATTCCTGCTGCTGTCGCTGCATCATCAAACGCTGCTGCATCTGCTGCTGCTGCATGAACATTTGCAGCGCCACCATACGAGGGTCAACCACACCACCAGACCCGTTCGCCTCTAACCCACTCATCCCTAAACTCCTCATCCATGCAGCAACAGCTTCACGTGGCACTCCCGGGTTCAAGCTCAGCATCCCCGCCCGCTCCCGCTCATCCCCCTCTGTTTCCTCTGGCGCCTCTTCTCTCACCACATCCCTTTCACCGGCTTCCTCTGCTTCACTCTCGTCATGGACATTATGTGAAACCCCCGTCCTCTCTCCTCGATGGAACTCCTCCTGGAACTCCTCCTCGCGCACACCCCCGTCCTCTCTCACCTCACGCTCCTCCCCACCTCCTCCTACTCCTCCATTCTCCATCTCCTCACCATGCACCCCCGCAATCCCCTCCTCTCCCATTCTCCTCATTCCCCTCTCCTCCCTTGCCTCCTCCTCGTTTTCCTCAATCTCCTGCTCCTCCTCTCCCTCCTTCCCCACCTCCGTCTCGTCCACCTCGCCATCACCATGCATCTCCTCTCGCCCCTCACCTCCCCCTTGTGATCTCTGTCGTCTGCAGCTCATCAGCGCAATGCGCCCACCACCACCACCACCACCACCAGCACCTGCAGCACCAGCGGTCAGAGCAGTCCCAGCACTACCGCTCTCCATCCACAAGCCTGACGAGTGGTTTGTCCAGCCGCCCGAGCCAGAACCAGCTCCTGCTTCCCCTTCCTCCTTCCCATCCACCTCCATGCAGGCACCGCTCCCAACCGCATCGTTTCCTACTGCACCACTCCCAATCGGACCTTCGTTTCCCTCACCCCCGTCCTCACCACCCATAGCACCCGTGCCGTCGCCCCATTGTTCCTCCCCCAACCCATCCACCTGCCTTCCATCTGCACTGGCAGCAGCACCACCACCAGCATTTCCAGCAGCAGTAGCAGCAGCCATAACCGACAAAGGTTTCAGCTCCCCTCCTCCTTTCCTCTGAATCACAACCCAGGAGGGCGGACCAGCACTGACCACAGGCGCCTCATCCCCATCACTCGGCACTCGCATGCGCTGACCCCCCTGCTGCTGCTGACCTAGCCCTTGGCTCTCCCCACTCTCCTGCCCCTGCTGCGTGTAGCGTCGCTGTTGTTGCTGCTGCTGCTCCCAGCCCTGACGACTGTGGCTCTGAGACTGAGAGCGCGTCGAAGAGCCGGGAAACTGCAACTCCCGCTGATAAATTTCTCCCCCCTCCTCCTCCCGCTGCTGCTGCTGCTGCTCGTCCCCTGCCTGCTGACCCTCGCCCACCCCGCTCCGCCTCTGCTCCGCCTCCCTCTGCTGCCGCATCAGCTGCTCAGACAGAGACACCTCCTTCCGCCTCCCTCTCATCGTCCTCAGCACCTGAACCCTCCCCCCCACCCACACCCCTCGCCCCGCCACAAACCCCGCCCCCCTGCCCGCCCCTCTACCGCGTCCTACTGCCCCCCCTCGCCCTCTTCCACCTGCACCCGCACCACCTGACAAATCTCCTGAGCCCCACCCTTGAAGGTCACTCTCACTGCCGCCACTGGCAGGGCGGGTCTGCTCGGGATCCGACAGAGCACGGGGCATGGTGAGAGGGGTGGTGGTAGCAGCAGCAGCAGCAGCACCTTCACCTTCAGCCCCACACCAAGGCTGTGCTTCTAAGGAAACAAATGCCGCACAGTCAGGAGGAGGAGCGAGGGGAGCAGCGGGTGGGATGGACGGGTGAGCGGCGTCAGCGGGAGGCAGCAAGTTGCTGTTGTTGCTCCGGGAAACGGAGTGGGACGTCCTCCAAACGAAGTCTCTTCCAGCCGTGTTCGCCCCATGACTGCTCCCGTCTCCCTCCATCCACTCCTCCTGCTTCTCGTCCGCCTGTCCCACCACACGCCCTTCCTGCACTCCCTTTGCCTGCCTTTGCATCGCCTCCCTTCGCACCTCCTCCCTTTGCAACTCCCGCCGTCGCATCTCTTCCATCTCATTCCGCCGCTCAGACCAGAACGCCGTCTCAGCCTCCCCTACAAGCTCCCCGTCAACCCGCTGCTCACCCCTCTCGACCATCTCACACCCCCTACTGCTACCACCAACCAGCCCCGAGCCACCTCCCAATCCCGAGCTGCCTGCCATTCCAGAACCACCACCTTCCAAGCCGCCGCCACCACCATTCCCGAACCTGCTCGCACGTCCCAAGCCACTTCCCAATCCTGTACCGCCTCCCTTCCCAGAGCCGCCTGCCTGTCCTGTGCTGCCACTTGTGCTCCCCGCCCGCCTCCCATCACCCTCTGGGCTTCCCAGCCGCTGCCTCTTCAAGGCTGCTGCCTTGGGACCCGACAGAAAGCCCCACCCGCTCTTCCCCTTCCCTGTGCCGCCTCTTTTGAGACCATTGCCCCCACTCCCGGCCCCACTGCCGCCCCTACTGCCGCCGCCACTCCCACCGCTGCCACCACCACTGCTGCCGCTTCGCTTCCCTGAAAGCCTCGACTGCCCCGGGCTTCCATCCTGCCCTGCGCTTCTTCCCAGCTTCCTACCCCGAGAATCCCTTCCGTCCGACCCATTGTCGCCCCTACCAACCTCTTCTCTGCGCTCCACTGCACCCCCACGTGCTGCTGCTCCGCTCTCAGGCGACTTGTCCCCGCCGTCGCCACTGTCGCCCTGCTCCTGCAGCTCTGGCATCTGCTCCAATCGGGCCACCCACTCGTGAATGTCCCCCCCACTGCCTGAGGACGCGGTACCAGCGCCAACAGCACCATCTCCGCCCCCAACTCCGCCTCCGCCTCCGCCTCCCTCTCCCCCGCCTGCGCCTGCGCCTCCACCTCCGCCTTCCCCCACTGCTCCGCCTCCGCCTCCACACGCCCCTGTGTGGTCCATGTGGGCTATGAACGCCTGCACGTTCTGCCCCCCTGACCGCAGGTACTGTGCCAGCAGCTGCTGCCGCTGCTGCTCCCGCTCCATCTCGCCCTTCCCCTGCTGACCTGCCACCATCAGCACCCCTCCTCCTCGCTTCTCCCTCACTGCGTGCTCCTTCACATGCTGCGGCTGCGGCGGTGGCGGCAGCAACTGCTGCTGGTGCTGCTCTCGTTCACACCCTTCATCAGCCCCCTTCTGCGTCCACTTCGCGTCTCTCCCAGACAACCGCTGCCCGTCCTGCTCCTGGCCCGTTTCCCCATCTGCATTTTTGCCGCCCCGCTGCTGCCACTGCTGCTGCCGCTGCTGCCACGCCTGCCGTCGGCATCCCACGGGCTCATGCTGCTGCGGCAGCGGTGGCGTTGGTGGCTGCGACGCCTGCAGCATCTGCTGCTGCTGTAACAGCTGCTGCTGCGGCTGCTGGTGCTGTTGGCTCTGGCTACTTCCTCCTCCTTGCCACCTCTCCAGACCCACGCCTGAACTCCGCTGCTGCAAATACCCCTCCTGCTCTTCTTGCTGCACCTGAACCTGCTGTTCCGCTTCCTCCTCCTCCGGCCGCTGCTGCCGTTGCAGTTGCTGCGGGTTCTCTCGTTCGTCCCCCACGGCCTGCCACCCATCCACCGACCCAGTCCAAATCTCCGTGCCCCCTCCGCCGCCCCACAGCTCCCCCGACCCTCCTGTCAGCGCCACTTCCGCCACCGACCCCTCCCTCTGCCCCATACTTCCCGACACACCCAGCGACCCATCTCCCCTAGCGCTGGCAAACCCACGGGCCACCCCCAACGGCTGGTGAATCTGGTGAGGCTGGTGGCCCTGGTGTGGTTGGTGGGGCTGCTGGGGCTGGTGAGGGTTGTGACTGTGGAGCGGTAGAGCAGCCAAGGGGCCACTGCCGCTGGAGAAAGAACAGGTGCCGCGGGTGTCAGCAGATGAGTGCGTGGGGAGCGTACTCGTGCCTCCCATCCCATACCCATACCCATAACCGTGACTCTGACCCTGCCTGTACCCGCGAGTGGCTGCTCCCATACCAGCAGCGCCTCCCTGCGCAGCAGCAGCAGCGGCGGCGGCGGCGGCGGCAGCGCTGGCAGGGAGAGTGTTGCCAGCGGCCTCGTCGAAGGAGGAGTGGGGGTTGTGCATGCCGGAGGAGGAGCGCAGGGAGAGCAGCGGCTTGGCGCCCGCGCTGGGGTTAAACGAGCCGTCGGGGCAGGACGACGCGCCTGCGCCTGAATGCTCCGCCAGGCTGCCGCTATTCTGCAGGGGCGAGTGGGGAAGCAGGGAGAGCGGGAGAGCAGACGAGGGGGGCCGCGCGGCGGGGAAAGAGGGGGAGAGCAGAAGAGTTGTTTTTCTAGGCGCATCAAAAGCGACAGCAGGGCTGGGAGCGCAGGGAGAGCAGCGGCTTGGCGCCCGCGTTGGGGTTGAACGAGCCGTCAGGGCAGGAGGACGCGCCTGCGCCTGAATGCTCCGCCAGGCTGCCGCTATTCTGCAGAGGGGAGCGGGAGAGAGAGGGGGGTGGGGGGGGAATGCGATGGAGGAAAGGAGCTGAGTTCTGAAGCGCCTTAAACGATGCGCCTGCGCCTAAAGGCTCCGCCAGGCTGCCGCTATTCTGCAGGGGCGAGCGAGGAAGGGGGGGGGATGCGAGCGGGGTGAGCGGAAGAGGGGGATACGAGGGAAGGACGTAGACGGCTGCCATTGCGTAAGTGAAGAAAAGGCAAACGCAAGTGTCTCAATGTGAGGCTCAACGGTTGAGGCAGGCAGCAGGCACGATTTGTTCGAGAATGCTTTGAGCGACAAGAAGCAAGTGGGCAGTGTTGCGCACATCCAATCCAAGCTCTGACGCGTTCAAGATGAGCCGTGCACATTCTAGACGATTCAAGAGCAATCTAGATTATGCCCAGCACTGCGGCCCCTCTGGATAGATACTAGAAACCATGTCCGAAGACAAGGGGACGATGTGCACCTGCAGGCTCTCCGGCGCGTTAGAGACGAGCTGGATGCGGCGCCACACGTGCTGCCACATGTGCGTGACGTCACGCTTCGTCACCGGCTTCACCAGATACTCCTCCGCGCCCGCCGCTATGCACTGCAGCACCGTCGCCTGGTTGGAGTTGCCTGACATCACTGCCACGTCAGCAAAGTCAGAATTACACGTCAGATACAGAGAAACGCGTGACAGATACACAGTCACATGCAATGCACGGCGACACACGCCAACACGTACAGTACAGAACATACGCGGGAAATCCGAGCCACGTCTCACGAACATCGACCCGCACCCAAGATACGTTAAGCTGTCAGCAGTGTGTGAAGGCGTGAGACAGCGTGTGGCACACTTAACGCTGCATCGAACGAGGCGTGCGCGCACGTACTGATGATGGGAATGGCGTTGTAGTTGGAGTCGGCGCGGAGGATTCGCAGCAGCTGCAGCCCGTCCAGCCCCGGCATCATGAGGTCCTGCACCGTTCACAGCGTCGCACAGCGTCGTATAGCATCGCATTGCGTCGCACAGCATCGCACAGCACAAGGGTAACGGCAGTCAGCAACAGAAAACAATCGAAGAACAAAAAACCCAGAGCGGCGCGAGCGCAGGTAACCATCCGCGAACGCTGAGAAATCCCACAACTGAGAAGTGCAAATCAAACTAGTGGGAACTATGTCGGACGAATTTCTCAAGGATTTCACAAAGCTTACAACGAGGATGAGATTGAATCCGTCTGGCCTCTCCTGCAGCACCCGGAGGGCCTCCATCCCTCCATCCGCCACCGTCACTGCGCATAACGAGGCACACCGGGGAATACCGTCAGATTGCTGGGAACCCGATCGCATACAGCACATATCCCTCGTACGGTAACCGAGTCGGTCAACTTATGCGACAATTGACAGCGACGAACGGATGGTTGGAACGATGAGCGAAGCCCCAGAAACGCCTCTCCAGTCGCAAGAATCATGTCTTCTGACAGACTACCGCATCCACTAGATTCACTGTTCCCGTTATACATCATCGCAACACTAAGAGTCTACGGTTCTCGAGTGTTTAGAAACGACTTGAAGTCGCAGTGACAGTGTAGGAGTCCGTGACGCTACCCGTTCCGTTCGTACGAAACCAAGGAGTTGCGGGAATCTCCGATGCCAGAACTGTGTCGCACAAGCATCGATGAGGTCAAATTTGCAAATTCAAAATTTTATTACTCTGCTGTCGTTTCCTGGCAGCTCACAACGGTTGTTCGGCGCCAGCTTCTACTCCGCTTGGCCAGCTTACTAGCTTCCGCTTTACTCTAGACGCTCGCTCTTAACTCTCCCTACTGCTTCTTCGATCTCCTGTCGCGTTCTTAACTCTCCTATCGTGCAGTTGAACCTTCTAGCCACCGTTGGCCCTGATTGCGAGACGTAGCTCTCATCACGCAACGACAAGACTAACTAAGCTCTCCAGTCCTAATCCAGAGCTGGATACTTTAGCAGCAAGCCCTTAGTCACCTTGATAACCACATCTTCGGAATTGATTTCCGACGACTAGTCGCGAGAGCCTTTCGTCGTCCACCACTAAAACGTGCACGTCCGACGGCGATATTAGCGGCATTCCCCCGGCTGCTGCAGCCCCTCCCGATCCCCCACCGCCTGCCGTGAGAACTCCATCTTGCACTGGAGTGGAAGGATCCATGGCGGTAACACTGACTGAATCTAGGAGAAGATCTAAGGTCTGCTGACAAGAAGTATTTAAGCGAGCTCGCGGCCAGCATAGTGAGTCGAAACGGCTCTGGCAACGCACACCACAGATTGAAATGATTTCTCAGCAAAAATGATCCCCCTGGCAACCACTCTCCACATCAGGAGCCCCAACTTCGTTCACTCCGCACGTGAACGCAATAACAATATTTCAACCGATAACCCTATTTTAGTTAGCCTCCTCCGTGACACACAACTTTATCGCGAATAGAAACTACGAATGAAGACGGAAGCGTTGCGCAATTGCTACTTAATCGGCTTGTAGCCTAGGGTTCCAACCAAGATTGTTCCTCCACTGGACCTGGGGTTTGCTTGCTTCTAGCATAGCAGACTCACTGAGTCTCAGCACAAGCTTGGAGCAGGAGGAGCAGGTTTGGCTGCTGCGGCTGGTTCGGTGGTATGGCATGGCATGGCATGGCCACGTGTACGTGTGAGTGGCGCGGGTGGTGGTAGGGAAGGAATTCGAGAGGTATGCGGACCCGTGAACCAGGCTCGGTCCCGTGGTCAGGGAGGGAGAGCACGAAACATAAGTAGGCATGGCAGCGAACTTAGGGATTCCCGCACAGATGACGCTGGTTGGCGGAAGCATGTGAGGTTTGCTTTATTTCGCTTTTAGGACCCCGAAAAGTGCACAGCATCCAGCTCACAAAAAATATCTACAGCCCACCAGCGATGGACAAAAGATCCTGACCTGGGGCGGTTGGTGTGAGGGCAGAGGCGTCACGTGATGTCCTGTCAAATTGCTCTTGAATCACGTGACAGAATTCTTAGCTAATGGCTGATTGGTTCCCAGAGGTTCCTACCTGAGGTGTGCTGGCCAACAGTTGCAGATGCAAATTTGATTGTTCTTCTACACCTGCCCGTTCACTCGCTGGAGCCCAGCAGTGAGGGTTTGCCGAAAGCACACACGGGCAGGCACCTTGAAAGGTGAAGAAATGCTTCAAACGGGGCCCCACCAATTGATTCTTACATGAATGAGATAGCAACACAAATTTGTTAGTAGCATACACTAATAATACATGCTTGCGATCTGTAAGCAGAGTGCAATATCCCTGCCATCACCCCAACCACCATCCCCCTTTACTACCGGCATTGAGTACACCGGCAAAATGACCAGATGCGCATCTTTATCAATTGAATCCTTCTTGTCTTTCTCTGATAGACTAAACACTTCATCGGATCCCCCTGCACCACAAGGAATTCGCGGAAATCCACTCCCATTCCTGTTTGTATCCCCATCCCCATTCCCCATACCACTCCAATCCCCTATCGCATTACCATCCCCATGCAATCCGTACTCGCCAAAGTGCCATGCACTGGCGCGGTGCCACCTCAGCATGCGAGCGGATGGCATGTGGTAGGAGATGAGCTCCCACATGGACCTGTCCCAGTTGTAATCGTCCAGGTGGCAAAACTCCTGACAACCATAAAAACCCAGGCAGGGAATAGAGCTGAGTGACAGGCGGTTATTACGTGGAGTGCACAGACATTTAGGCGGATGAAGCAGAGTACAAAAGTACAAAATGTTGGATAAAATATATAAAACATCTTAGAAATTTGCGTCTCGATACTCAGCTGACCAGAGGGAGGATGTACAGTAGGTTGGAGGCAACCAGTGGAAGTAAAAAAACTGTTTAACCAGTGGATGTACAGTAAGTTGGATGCAAGAAGGGTGCAGGAGAGACGTGGATGGCGTACAGCACAGGTGCAGACGTGTGCAGATCAGTGCAGAGGAGTGCAGATGAGTGCAGATGTGTGCAAATGAGTGCAAATGATCGCAGATGAGTGCAATGAGCGTTGAGTGCAGATGAGACGAATTTCAAACCTGGTAGATCAAAATGGCCCATACGCCCACACGCATTCCATTCCCCACCAATAGAACTAGCAGTACACATTCCCAACATCGTACCTCTTCCAGCCTCTGCCTCACCTATGGAGAACTCTTGGAAAAGTATTCTCAATGGTGGCTACATCAGCTCCAGCACACCCCTGTTCAACCCGCACACCCCCATGGATTCCTGGGACATCTTTAAACAGCATATACCATACATTCACCACCATACCTCTTTTGAGGCGCCTCAAAAGACATCTTTAAACAGCATACACCATACATTCACCACCATACCACTTTTGAGGCGCCTCAAAAGACATCTTTAAACAGCATATACCATACATTCACCACCATACCTCTTTTGAGGCGCCTCAAAAGACATCTTTAAACAGCATATACCATACATTCACCACCATACCTCTTTTGAGGCGCCTCAAAAGACATCTTTAAACAGCATATACCCATACATTCACCACCATACCTCTTTTGAGGCGCCTCAAAAGACATCTTTAAACAGCATATACCATACATTCACCACCATACCTCTTTTGAGGCGCCTCAAAAGACATCTTTAAACAGCATATACCATATATTCACCACCATACCTCTTTTGAGGCGCCTCAAAAGACATCTTTAAACAGCATACACCATACATTCACCACCATACCTCTTTTGAGGCGCCTCAAAAGACATCTTTAAACAGCATATACCATACATTCACCACCATACCTCTTTTGAGGCGCCTCAAAAGACATCTTTAAACAGCATATAGCATACATTCACCACCATATCCCTGCCAGCCCCTGCATCACCTCCCACCCACACACTCCTATCCTAGCTCTTCCCACGTTGCCCATCCCATACCCCGGGGTCATACCACACCTGAGGAACAACATACCCCACTGAGGAACAACATACCCCACCTGAGGAACAACATACCCCACCTGAGGAACAACATACCCCACCTGAGGAACAACATACCCCACCTGAGGAACAACATACCCCATTTCTCATACCCCCACCACCGTACCTGTGCCAGGCCATGCATCATCGCCCACACACTGCGGTTGAAGCTGTACCCCACGTTGCCCAGCCTCTCCGCCGTGAAGTGCCCAATCCGCCTCAAAACTCCACCCTTCTCCACCGCATTCCCCTCGACTCTTCTGACCGACAGCCTCAATCGCCTCACTCCAGCCACGCCCCTTTGCCGATCCTCCACCTCCCGCTGTGCTTGCACTGCAGTCTTCACTCCCCTCCTCTCCACCGCACCCTCCTCCTCATCCTCCACCACCCCCACATCAGCAGGGGCGAGGCTCACAGCGATGCACTCGTTGCAGCGCCCGCGGCACTTGGCGCTTAGCAAAGAGCGGAGGTGGCTAAGTGCGTTGGGGAAGAGCCAGTGGTCCTCCTCTATAAAGAGCATGTGGCCGTTGAATGCCCTGGTCTCTGGCAGGCCGTTCCACACCGTGTTCTGCACCCACCACCAGTGGTGCTGCGTGGGAGGGGGGTTGTGTGGGAGGCAAAGGCAGGAGGGGAAGATTGGACGACGAGGGGAGAAGGGGAGGAGGCATAAGGGGTTGGTTGGTGGGAGGAAATAGAGATGTTGGGCAAGAGCCAGTGGTCCTCCTCTATAAAGAGCATCTGGCCATTGAATGCCCTGGTCTCTGGTAGGCCGTTCCAGACCGTGTTCTGCACCCACCACCAGTGGTGCTGCGCGGGACAGAGGTGGGAGGAGGGAAAGGGAGGGAGAGGGAGGGAAAGGCAGGGAGCATGTGGCCGTTGAATGCCCTGGTCTCTGGGAGGCCGTTCCACACCGTGTTCTGCACCCACCACCAGTGGTGCTGGGAGGGAGGAGGTGTGGGGACAGGGTGGGAGTGGGAGAGGTGGGGAGGGAGAGAGAGAGGGAGCGGAGGAGCAGGGAGCTGCTGGGAAGCAGGGGAACGAGAAGTTCCCTGGGGAAAGGATTCTCCCATGTGGTAAGATGGGTGTATGGGTGGATGCATAGATGGGTGAGCGAGGTGGAAACAGCAAGAGGTGGAGAGGTGGGGACGGGAGTGATGAGACATTTTTTATAATTCTCAAAAATCGCTCACAAAGACTAATCACGCACCACAGCAGCACATGCACATGCACGCACCTTAAGTGAGACTATTCTTGGGTCACGATAAGATCCGAATTCATCTGCCTGGCCCCAACACGGCATCTCATCTCCCCCTTCCTCCTCCCCCACCTCCTCCCCTTTGCTCAAACTGTTGCTAGCAGCGTGCCTCATCCCACCATCCCTCACCATCCCCTTGTTACCCATGCCCCGACCATGCCACTTCCTCAGCTTTCCTCCCGTACGAGCCCTCTGCTCCCACCGCTCAGCTCCCCCTGCTTTCGTTTCCCACGGCCGCCTTGACTTGCCGCGGCAGTCGTCGGCAGAAGCTGCCGGGAAGGTTCCGTTGAAGAGGTGTGGCGAGAAGGGGAAGTAGAGCTGCTTGACCCGGCAGAAGGAGATGGATTGGACGAGGGCGTGCATGGGCGGGTAGAAGCCGTCGTGACTGGGAGGGGGAGGGGGGGGGGGGGGAGGGGGGGGGGGGGGGGGGTGGAGGGGAGATGAGGGGAGGGCGGAAGTAGAGCTGCTTGACCCGGCAGAAGGAGATGGATTGGACGAGGGCGTGCATGGGCGGGTAGAAGCCGTCGTGACTGGGAGGGGGAGGGGGGGGGGGGGGGAGGGGGGGGGGGGGGGGGTGGAGGGGAGATGAGGGGAGGGCGGAAGTAGAGCTGCTTGACCCGACAGAAGGAGATGGATTGGACGAGGGCGTGCATGGGTGGGTAGAAGCCGTCGTGACTGGGAGGGGGAGGGGGGGGGGGGGAGGGGGGGGGGGGGGTGGAGGGGAGATGAGGGGAGGGCGGAAGTAGAGCTGCTTGACCCGGCAGAAGGAGATGGATTGGACGAGGGCGTGCATGGGTGGGTAGAAGCCGTCGTGACTGGGAGGGGGAGGGGGGGGGGGGGAGGGGGGGGGGGGGGTGGAGGGGAGATGAGGGGAGGGCGGAAGTAGAGCTGCTTGACCCGGCAGAAGGAGATGGATTGGACGAGGGCGTGCATGGGTGGGTAGAAGCCGTCGTGACTGGGAGGGGGAGGGGGGGGGGGGGGTGGAGGGGAGATGAGGGGAGGGCGGAAGTAGAGCTGCTTGACCCGACAGAAGGAGATGGATTGGACGAGGGCGTGCATGGGCGGGTAGAAGCCGTCGTGACTGGGAGGGGGGGGGGGGGGGGGGGGGGGGTGGGTGGAGGGGAGTTGAGGGGAGGGCGGAAGTAGAGCTGCTTGACTCGGCAGAAAAAGATTGAGCGGATGAGGGCGTGCATGGGTGGGTAGAAGCCGTCGTGGCTGGGAAGGGGGGGAGGGAGGGGGGATAGAGGGGAGGGAAGGGGCAACCGAGCTTTTTCACCCGGCAGAAGGAGATTGAGCGGACGAGGGCATGCATGGGTGGGTAGAAGCCGTCGTGACTGGGAGGGGGGGAGGGGGAAGGGGGATATAGGGGGATATAGGGGTGGGGAAGGGAAGTGAAGCTGTTTCACCTGGCAGAAGGTGATCGAGCGAATGAGGTGGTGTATGCATGGGGGGTTAGAAACAATTGTGACTAGGAATGGGGGGAAGGGGCGGAACAACTAAGGGTAAGGAAAGAGGAAGAGGGGGAGGAATGGGAAGGAGAAAAGGGTAAGTAGACTGAGCGGACCAGGCAGTGTGCAAGGGGAGGTAGAAGCCGTTGTGACTGGGAGATGAGCGGACCAGGCAGTGTGCAAGGGGAGGATAGGAATGGGAATGGGCGGGAGGAGAAGAGATAGGTTGCAAAGGGAATGGGCAGGGTAACGACAGGAGGGCAAGAGAAAGGGCAGAAGGAGACTGAGGTGACCAGGCGGTGCAAGGGGGGGTAGAAGTCGTCGTGACTGGGAGGCGGTGGCGATGGGAGAAGATGGGGGGAAATGGGGGGTGGGGATAAAAGGCAATGGGAGGCGGTGGACCGAGGAACAAGAGAATAAACGAAGACGCCTCTGGAGTTACGTTCCTCTCAGCACAGAATGACAACGACAGTACTGAGAGGTAGATTGTGCATGCTATCTCACTCACGTCGCAGTGAGCAGCATATGCTATCTACATCTGGAAATAACATGAAGCACACACAATCTACCCAAGGAAAACAAGGCCGATATTCTGTCTATTCTCTCATGCCGTGCATCATCCCATCACAAAATCATGTTCTTATCGCACCTGACTATAAGCAGGGCGTGCTGTATGCCGTCCACTTTGCTCAGAGCATCCAGAGTGCGGTTGAGATACGCCGGCCGGTTGTGCACGAGCAACACAATGATGATGTCATCATCTCCCACTGCTGCCACGTCACCATTTCCCTCTGCTGCCACGTCATCACGTCCCCCTGCTGACACATCCTCATCTCCCAAAGCCGCCTTGCTTGCTCTCCGTTGCTTGCTGCTAGGGACACTCCTCATTCTCTTTGGCACGCGTGGAGGCAACCTATTGGCTGCTGCCAGCTCAGCAATCCGCCGATTGGACGGAGGCCACGTGGCGTTGTTCAATTGCAGATGCGACCTGCGCCATGTCGAGACAAACCACGCTGTCTCGCGCTGCTTGCGAGCCTGCATGAGTTGGCGCAGTCGTGCCTCTACTGAGAGGAGCGCCTTGCCCTTGACCGCACCGGTCATAGCACGCACCTACAACAAGGTTCAGGGTTCAGGGTTTAACGCAGAAGTTTCCAGAGGGGTTCAGAATTCCAGGTTGAAGGTGGAAGGTTCACGGTGAGTGTGGCAAACTGGCAACGCATCCGTGACTGCATTGACTGCATTGACTGCATTGACTGCATTGACTGCTACTTTCTTCGTCGCAAGGTGGCAAGGTGCTGTGCCATGGTGGAAAAGCATCGTGGAAGGCAATGAGAAAAGCAATGTGGCTCCCTCTCACCTCATCCACAGCCGGCCCTACACCGTGCTTCTTCTTAAACCGTATTGACGCACCTGTGATTGAGGCGGTGAGGCGCTTCTGAAATCCCCGGTGGCATGGCTTACCTGCGACTGCGGGCTTCTCGGCTGCCCTCTCATAGCCATCGATTGCCAACACTATGCCATCCTTCTTGTCAAACAGTACTGAATCATTTCTTAGGGCGTATGGCACACGGCTTACCTGCGACTGCAGCATTCAGCTCCCTCTCATAGTCGTCAACGGCCATCCATACGCCGTCCTTCTTCTGAAACGGTACTGACGTTACCTTACCTGCGACTGCAGCATTCGCAGCTCCCTCTCGTAGTCGTCAACGGCCCTCCCTACGCCATCCTTCTTCTCCCCTGCAACCCCTCTGCTTCCTTTCGTTTCTTTCACAGCAGCAGCAGGGCCGAAGACGTTCAATTCTCTGTAATATGTCTGCTTGTAGCGCGAATACGCACGGGGGCACTGGGAGCTGCTGCTAGCGGAATTGCTACTATCGGAAGGCGTGGCGAAGCTTCTTCTGCTACTGCTACCACGAACAGAACCCGACGTGTCGTGCGGCGAAGCTTCTAGGTTCACTCTCCCTCGAAACGTTCTACTCCTTCTTCGTTGCGCGTCCGTGATGTCCGCGACGAATTCCAGCTCGTTCGAAACGAGCCGTAGCAACCCCTCGCGTCCGTCTGTCCGAGCCTCCCGTTCCGAGGTTCGTTGTACTAGCGCGACATGAGGTTCGACCTCTGGTTCGGATTCAGGATTGGTTCGACCCAGTCCGGGATCAGATGCGGGCTTGATGCTTGATGCGGTGGCCATGAACGGCAGGAATGACGCCAGAGCGTCCGCCATTTCCTCGGAATTGTCGGCCCAGAAAAAGCATCCCATCCATTCCTCGAACGACCAATCAGCGGCTGAGAAATCGGATTCATCGTTCTTGCTAAAGGCTTCGATAGTAGCGTCAGATCCGGACTCGATATTGTCAAGTGAAAGCCACGCTGTGCGTAAAGCGAACGCGAACACGCAAAGGAAGAGTATCAATGTTGTACGGCAGAAGCGAATGCGACTAAAACGAACGTGACTGGAGCGATCGGCCATGATGCATCGTCGAGTCGCCATGCCGCACTACTCCGTCATGTGTTTGGGCCGACTCTGATCCAAAAAACTCGTACATTTTGAATTCTGGCATGATTCCGCGGCTGGGGACAGCGGATAGGTCTGACGAGGAAGCACGGTCGTTGCGACGATGGAGGCCTCCTGGTGAGGCGATGGTGGGTCGTTTGGAAAGGAGTTGTGCTGGGATGCGGCTGCGATCGATCATTGAACCGGCTTCAACCACTGGTAAAGTGCGACCTACCCGGTCACTGCATCCTGCCATCATGACAAAGCTCACAACAACCTTTCCCGGTTGCGACCTGAAAAGATCGTAAGATGCCTTGGCTGGCTGCGACGTGGCACGGCCCGCGAGCGACCTTGGTTGCGACCTGTACAATAGTACTGTAGCCGAGCAAGCATCTACCTCCACCCCACACACCATATTGCACAAGCAAGCAGGCTGCCCTGCCCATCCACTCCACCAATCCCACACCTCCCTCCCAACCCAATCACCCCACCTCACCGCACTTGAACCTACTCCAACCCACCCCATCCCACCTCTTCCTACCCCACCTCACCCACCCACCGACCAAAGTTGCAGAACTGATCCGATGAAGCTGAAGGCTTCCCCGCTTGCGATAAAAAAAATCGAACCTGGAGGCTTCGCGTTCAGTTCCCAGACTTGTCTCCAAGAAATATCGAATCCTTTTGAGACGAACCGGTGTCAGCCTCTGTTCTTTCCGCGTATATGTGCCCCGTTACTAGTTAATTTCGCCGCTAAATCTGACATTTACTTGTACAATCGGGGGGAAGTGAAACATGGCTGGCCGTTTTTCTCTTGTAGCACGCTTTCCCTATTTTCTTGAACATACGAATCAGGCGATCCTGATCAGGACCCGCTCAGCAGTCGTTAGGACGTAAATCTCCCATACCGAGATTGCTGTAATGGGGTAACAATATACGGCGATACTGTATGAGACGCCGATTTACAAATTGCCTGCACGAAATGCGGCGCGGTTGCAACTGTTACTGATGAAGTCCCATTTTGTTGTGCGAGTAGTTCCACGAATCACTCGTCTGCACTCTGGTAGGTCACCGGAATTGTCGCAGCATGATTATCTGCCCCACAAGATTTTCGCGTCCGTTTCGCCGATACACGTACTTTTGTGATGGCCTTGTTCTGATATGACTGACACGCAACAGAACGTACGGGCCCTGGTGTGTTCAGGTGGATCAAGAAAACAACCTCCGCGCTTGAATCACTTCTTGGTGGGTCGCGATAGATCAGTGTTCAAGAATCGGGTTTCTATCCCAAATCTGTTTCTCCGTAGAAATCATCTGCATCGACACGCCATCGGTTTCCAGAACGCTAATAAAAAGCCGCGCGACATTCAGTAGTTTCATCTAAAGTAGTTCCATCCGCTTGAAGTAAAGTAGTTTCATCCGTTTTGTATTTCCGCAGATGGCGGACTCCGCCGCTTCTGCGGCGGCGCAACCCGAAAGCAGCAGCGCTGCCGGAAGCGGCGGCGGCGGCGGGTGCGCGCGGCCGGAGAAGCCGAACACGACGGTGGGGAAGATTCGCGAGCACGTGAACGAGTTCATGAGTGCGTCCATGGACGAACACAAGGAGTGATTTAAAAACACGCTGGGGAAGGTAAGCAGTGGGGAAAAGGTCCGGGGAGGGTAAGCAGTCAGTTAGGCGTCAGGAAAGGTGTACAATCGGCGGGTGTACGCTCAGTTTGGCAATGTAAGCAGTCAGTTAGGCGTCAGGAAAGGTGTACGCTCGGTTTGGAAGCATCACAGAGGAACTGACATCCTAGCAACAGCTTATCGCTTCTCTGTCTTCTTGTTAAATTACAACCCTTCTCATCTCTCTTTCCCCACCTCCCAACCTTCCACCCACACCCTTTCCCCCTTTCTCCTCCACCTTCCTCTCCCTCTTTTCCCCCACCTTACCCTCCCGCCTTCCTTTCCCGCCTTCCCATCCGCCTTCCGCTCCCGCCTTCCTCTCCCTCTTTCCTGTCCCGCCTTCCCCTCCCGCCTTCCTTTCCCGCCTTCCCCTCCCGCCTTTCCGCTCCCGCCTTCCTCTCCCTCTTTCCTGTCCCGCCTTCCCCTCCCGCCTTCTTTTCCCGCCTTCCCCTCCCGCCTTTCTGCTCCCGCCTTCCTCTCCCTCTTTCCTTTCCGCCTTCCTCTCCCTCTTTCCTGTCCCGCCTTCCTCTCCCTCTTTCCTTTCCCGCCTTCCTCTCCCTCTTTCCTGTCCCGCATTCCTCTCCCTCTTTCCTTTCCCGCCTTCCTCTCCCTCTTTCCTGTCCCGCCTTCCTCTCCCTCTCCCTCACCTTCCTCTTTCACCTTCCTCTCTCACTTCCTCTCTCACCTTCCTCCCTCACCTTCCTCTCACACCTTCTTCTCTCACCTCCCTCACCTCCCTCACCTCCGGTCACCAGATGTTTGGTTTCAAAAGGAAGTCCCCAGCGCCGCCCCCTCGCAACGTCGTCATCCCACTGGTTGCTCACACAGGCACTGTAGCACCACTAGACACGGCTCTAGACACTGAAACACGGTAAGGCATCCACTTGCGGGCAGTCACACCAATTCTCACTTGGCGGTTGGGGCAGCAGCAGCAGCAGCAGCAGCAGCAGCAATGGTGGCGGCGGCGGCGGCGACAGCAGTGTCTGCTGCAGCAGGGGCTGATACCAGCATGTGACTGCAGCAGCGGACCTGACTGGGTTCCTTTTCACACTGTGCGTGCCAGAGGGACCTTTGCAGTGGAAGAGCATTAGAGGGAGGTCTGTGTGGCTGCAGCAGAGCAGGAGAAGGGGTGGAGGTGGAAGAGGCGAAGAGCGGAGAGAGCATATGACGGTGGTGGCTTAAACCCCCCCAGGGGCAGCTACAGCCCGACCCGCCACTCCCATGCTTCTTGCTCCCTCAACCTCCCTGCTCAATCTTATTCCATCATTGTCTCAAAAGTCGTCTCATTTGACAAGTTGGGAAGGAAGGGGAGGTGGGGGGGGGGAAGTAAAGAGCGAGACTGCACATGACGGCTGTAGCTCAAACCCCTCCCAGGGGCAGCTGCAGCCCGACCAGCCACTCCTGTGCTTCTTGTTCCCTCAACCTCCCTCCCTGCCCTAAGCTTGTAGCATTTTCGCTGTGTGCTTCGTAAGTGGAGAGTCGTCCGGTGTACCGGTATTTGTAGGAAAGTCTTTGTGAACTACTCTAGTTGTACCATACGTTGTTTAGTAGCAATGCAGTGCATTGTGGTGGGATGCGTACCATTTCTGGACGGACAATGGCTTGCCTGTTAACCATTACACAATACATACCATGAGATAATGTAAGCCCCATTGTCCACAAGTGAACAATGAAATGATACGGTAAGTGCAGTAAATAGTTTGCTGTCAGGCCTGTCACTGGTACGGTATATACTGAAGAAAGAAGGGCCATCCCATCCCATGTCCCACCCACAGCTCCAATCTTGAGTGGATCATTCAGGCAAGCAGCATAATGCACCATACAGTTTCAGCATTGGTCCACTCCATCCAGACCAAATCTGCACTGGCAGGCTGCAGAGCAAATCAACAGTGCACGATATCATACCCTATCTCATCATATCATATCAGAGTACCAAATGGGACGGATCACAAGGCCTCGAGGAATCCTCAAGGCTACAGAAGCTCCACATACATGCCCACCTATACTTCAGCATACCTAACTATCTCAGATCAGATCAGATCCGCACACAGATGCGCCAGGCTCGGTGGTCTCAAGGTATCTTCCAAACTGCAGAAGGTGCGTCGCCACAGCTTCACAGCCTTGGTGCGGTCATGCGCCATCCAGTCACTGATATCGCTCCACGGCACGGCCCGCGAGTCAAACATCACCACCCGCCACGGCACAAAGAACTTCATCAACCCCTCCTTGAACCACATGTCCACTGCGAACGACGGCGGGATGCGGTGCGCGGGCGCCCACGAAAACCACCCGTAGTAATACGCATTCAAAAACCTATCCATGGACCCTTCCGGGTAGGGTAAAACCGGAAGCTTCGACACCATGTCTTCGAATGTCGTGGAATTGGGTTGAAGAACCATCACTCGGGAGGTAAACATGTCCGGAGGGAACACGCTCGGCGGGGCGGCAAACGCGTCGTAACTGGTAACCAGCTCGTTACAATTATCAACAAAAAGCGCCACCGGATCGACGTACACAAGCTTGTCAAACCCCTTCTGGTTCCACGCGTGCAGCACGGCGAAAGAATCGTCTAGTTGCTGCCCGTTGACCACTATCGGGTCCACCACACGTACATAGTTGAAGAGCTTTCGGTACGGCTGCCAGTGGTCCCTGGGGACCGTGGACAGCACGAGAAGGAGAATCTTCCGGAAGGAGGAGAAGGAATGGTGCTGCAGGTAGGATGCCGCCCAGACCCCTGCTGCAAAGTAATTCTCTTTGGTTATAACAGTCACGAAGCCCTCTCGGCCAATGTATGTCGGCCGGCCGGGAATCACTGGCTCGTGGGAAACCGGCGAGGAGAGCAGCGCCGGGGTGGATGGAAACGCGGACGATGCAGTTTGAGCTGCTGCTGCGCCTGCGGCTGCGGCTGCTTCGGCGGCGGCGGCGGATGCGGAGCGGACCTTGGCGTGGGAGGGGAGGAGGGAGTCGTACTGGGCGCGGTTGGGGAGGAAGTGAGTGAGGGAGATGGAGGTGGGATCGAGCGGGTACCAGTCGTTTTCTTCCAGTGCGTGTGCGAGGTACAGCCAGAGCGAGCACCAGAGATTCACCTTCACCTGTGGGCCACCGTCTCCTGTTACCACCACCCCTCCTGCCCCTCCTGCTCCCCCTTCGATCACCCCACTAGCAGCTCCTGCTGCTCCTGCACTGCCGTTCCCGTTTCCGTTTCCTCCTGCTGCCACTGCTTGCAGAGTCGCTGCTGCTGCAGCCTCTACTGCTTCTCTGCTCACCCCGCTCTGACCCGACGTGAGAGACGAAGCCAGACTCGACGACAACGCAGACGACAAACTCCCCCCACCTGCTGCCCCTCCCCTCGCCCCCCCTCCCCCTCCCCCTCCCCCTCCCCCTCCCCCGCCTCCCCCTTCCCCGTGTATCCCCACCACCCCCCCTTCCTGCGTCCCGAGCCGCCACGGCTTGAACCAGGGGTTGGCGAAGTGGATCATCATGATTGGTCCGTTGAGCGCCTCGTGGGCGGCTTCGACGCGGAACCAGGGCGGCGGGTGGTAGTGGTCGGGGAAGAAGATGACGGCGTTGTACCGCGCGGGCAGGCGGTGCGCGGGCGGCGAGTGGAACCAGCCGGAGAAGTAGGCGTTGAGAAAACCTTGATCTCCTTTGTTGTAGGACGGGAGACGGTGCATCTTGCTCATCATGTCAGCGTATGTGGACTGAAAGGAAGGAAAGACAGGGTGGTGGGAGCAGCGAGCAGGGGGGGGGTGGGGAGGACAGGGAGGGTGGGAGGGGATGGGATGAGCGGGGTGGTAGTGGTCGGGGAAGAAGATGACGGCGTTGTACCGCGCGGGCAGGCGGTGCGCGGGCGGCGAGTGGAACCAGCCGGAGAAGTAGGCGTTGAGGAAGCCCTGGTCGCCCTTGTTGTACGAGGGGAGGCGGTGCATCTTGCTCATCATATCGCTGTATGTGGACTGGTGGGTGGGGCACAGAGGTGGCATAGGGGGATGAAGGGGAGACAAGTGTAAGAAGTAGGCGTTGCGAAAGCGTTGATCTCCTTGGTTGTAGGAGGGCAGCCGGTGCACTTTTTCTTGCTCAACACAACGCTGTACATGGACTGAAAAGATTCCGCTTATGGAGAACAGGGTGAGAGGAGGCGGGGGTAAGGGAGGGGGTGGAAGAGCGATAGCCGGGGAGCAAGCAAAGCTTGCATTTCATCATTCGCAAGGAAAGCAGATCGGCTTATGCTTTGAAGTACTTGTGGATGCTATTATCGAATCATCTGGTGTATATTGGAGGAAAAGGGGGTTGTTGACACTCTTTGTGATTGCTTACATGGGACGGTTTCAGCACCAGCAGTCCGCTGTTGAAGTTGCTGCTCATGTACACATCCGGCACGGCAGTGGGTTCTGTTGCTGCCCTCTGATAAAGGTCCATACGTACTTCATACATACCAAACTTGCTACCAAGGACTCACATGAGACGGTTTCAGCACCAGCAGTCCGCTGTTGAAGTTGCTGCTCATGTACACATCCGGCACGGCAGTGGGCTCTGTGATTGTCCATTACACCAGTTCCCTTCACACTTAGCTTGACCTGACATGAGAAACTCACATGAGACGGTTTCAGCACGAGCAGTCCGCTGTTGAACTTGCTGCTCATGTACACATCCGGCACAGCAGTGGGCTCGGGGCGTTCAAAGAGGTGGTCCAGGTTGGCGAGCACGAGCGTGTCCACGTCGATATACACCACCTTGTCGTATTCCGTCATCTGCCACGCATTGAGTTTGGAGAAGCCTTTTACTCCGTACCTGTTGTTCGAAGGTGGGCAAGGGGGCGAGCACGGGGGGGGCAGGGGGAAGAAAGGTGCATGTTTTGAGCACGAGAGTGTCCACGTCAATGTAGACCACCTTGTCGTATTCCGTCATCTGCCACGCATTGAGCTTGGAAAAGCCCTTCACGCCGTATCTGGTGGACAGGGAGAGAGGGGGAAGGCGGGTGGAGATGAGATGAAGGCGCAGGTAGAGAGCACGAGCGTGTCCACGTCGATGTAGACCACCTTGTCGTATTCCGTCATCTGCCACGCATTGAGCTTGGAAAAGCCCTTCACGCCGTATCTGGTGGACAGGGAGAGAGGGGGAAAGCGGGTGGAGATGAGATGAAGGCGCAGGTAGAGAGCACGAGCGTGTCCACGTCGATGTAGACCACCTTGTCGTATTCCGTCATCTGCCACGCATTGAGCTTGGAAAAGCCCTTCACGCCGTATCTGGTGGACAGGGAGAGAGGGGGAAGGCGGGTGGAGATGAGATGAAGGCGCAGGTAGAGAGCACGAGCGTGTCCACGTCGATGTAGACCACCTTGTCGTATTCCGTCATCTGCCACGCATTGAGCTTGGAAAAGCCCTTCACGCCGTATCTGGTGGACAGGGAGAGAGGGGGAAGGCGGGTGGAGATGAGATGAAGGCGCAGGTAGAGAGCACGAGCGTGTCCACGTCGATGTAGACCACCTTGTCGTATTCCGTCATCTGCCACGCATTGAGCTTGGAAAAGCCCTTCACGCCGTATCTGGTGGACAGGGAGAGAGGGGGAAAGCGGGTGGAGATGAGATGAAGGCGCAGGTAGAGAGCACGAGCGTGTCCACGTCGATGTAGACCACCTTGTCGTATTCCGTCATCTGCCACGCGCTCAGCTTCGAAAAGCCCTTCACTCCATATCTGATGGGGGGGTGGTGGGGAGGAAAAGGTGAAGGCGAGCACGAGCGTGTCGACGTCGATATACGCCACCTTGTCATATTCGGTCATCTGCCACGCATTCAGCTTCGAGAAGCCCTTCACGCCATACCTGTTATTTGGGTTGGGAATGGGGCAGGTGGAAAATGGGGGAAGGAGTTGGTGAATCTTGGGAGCACGAGCGTGTCCACGTCGATGTACACCACCTTGTCGTGCTCCGTCATCTGCCACGCGTTCAGCTTGAAAAACCCTTTTACTCCATACCTGTTTGCGTGTGATCACGCACAGGGGGCAACAGGGGCGGTGGGAGACACCTCAAGTCAATCAGGTTAATCAGGGCAAGCAGCACGTCGATATACACCACCTTGTCGTGCTCCGTCATCTGCCATGCATTGAGTTTGGAGAATCCTTTTACTCCGTACCTGATAATGGGCAAACAGACGGGAAAACATGCGGGAGCGGGGAACACCGGGCGTGTGGGGCAGGGGGAAGGTGGGGAAAGGAGGGGGCAGCCTTTGACTCAAGGGTAGAAACACTCGTGGGTTTGCAATGTTGGGAACACGCCGAACGTGGTCAAAGTGCAGTGCAGCAGTAACAATCGATCGTTCACATTCACGTCATGGGCGTTCCCATCCACCATGAGCACCAGGTCATGCGCAGGTTTTTGAGAATTCTCAAAAACCAGAACGTGCCCGTCAGCCTGAGCGTGGTGGACAGATACTCACGGGTTAGTGACAGTCGGCACGCGCCGCACGTGGTCAAAGTGCAGCAGTAATAACCGGTCATTGACATTCACGTCATGCGCGTTGCCATCCACCATGAGCACCAGGTCATGCGCCGTGCCCGTCAGCCTGAGGGACTGCGCGTGGGCGAGCGCAGCGGGCAGCAGGTCGGCAGAGGCGACGAGAGTGGTGTAGGCGTAGTGCTGCTCCAGCACCACTCGGTGCAGCCCCGCTGCCCTCGCTGCCTGCATGCGCGTTAGAGCACGGTCGTCGCAGTGAATCATGTACCCGAACTTGTCGCAATACACCTGGGGTGGGGGAGGGCGGAAGCGGCAGTGGAGGGAAGAGGTGGGGACGGAGGGGGGGAAATTGCTTAACAGCCACCTGCATGCGAACCAGTGGGAGCACGGCCTTGGAGTGCCTGTACCCACCCCCACCTACCCCACTGTCCCCCTTACCCCTGTCAACCCCTCTCAACTCCTCCCATCCCCTCCCATCCCTCCCTCCCTCCACAGCATCCTCACCGCTCACCATCTCTTTCAAATCCAGCGTCACCGTGGAGTAACTGTATCGCATACACTCACTTCACCATCTCATTGTTGCCGTATTTTAAAGTTACATCACCGAAAATTAAGCCCCTTATGTCTAATATCCTCACCAGCTCTCTAACATCCGGCGTGGCCTTGGAGTAGCTGTATCTCAGCTCCATGCCGCCCCACAGACGTGACTCTTGAGTCGACTCAAAAGTCTCCTCCCACCCTTCCCACGAATCCCACCCCTTCCCACCCATCCACGCTACTCACCAGCTCTCTGACATCCGGCGTGGCCTTGGAGTAGCTGTATCTCAGCTCCATGCCGCCCCACAGCCGCTGGAACGCGCCGATGCACCCGCCGCGGTCCTTCTTGTGCCCGGCGCGCGCGCTCAGTCCCACGTCGCTCAGCTCCTTCTCCGAGTTCCGCGTGTCGCCCCAATCCCGAGGCTTCCCGTCCACCAATAGCGGCCCGACTTTCGCGCGCTGCGAAACGACGAAGTTCATCGCGATGTCTTCGCAATTCTTCCCCGAATCCACGTACGCCTTAACCCCCTCCGGCGTGTGACACGTGTACCTAAAGAGGTAATCCGCATGCAGTATAAACAACTTCGTTAACACTATCGAATACCTGTCTTCGCGTTTGGTGTACACCCATCCCTTATCCTCCAAACTATACACGTGCGCGCGCGGGAAGAATCCCACGAGCCGCTGCTCGTTCTCCCCCCAAACCCGGAGCGCGAACTCCAGCGTCTTATCGTCGATCGTGATGTCATCATCGCATATAATCACAGCTCGCGTGCGAATGAACTTTCGCGGAAGGAACCGGTCGTTCAGGCTGTCGGACAGCTGTCTAACTATGTGAATCTTAGAATCCGGGCCGCCCACGCGAATCCCCCCGCCCGACCCGTGATTCCCGCCGGAAATGCCGTCCTCTCTTTCCTGCGTGGCGATTTTTTCGGCTCGCTCAATCGCCGCCGCCGCCGCCGCTGCCGCTCCTTCCCCGCTCGACCCGTCATCCCACCACCCCAAATCCCCCTCAACCACGGAGAAAGGTGACGATACGTTCCCCCATAGGACATAAATCGCGTCAACTAACGGGCTCTCCGCGTAAATCTGCAGCGTTTCCTGAAGAAGCGGTATTCGCGCTTCGGCATAGCCGTTGATCAGGATGGTCACCGAGTCGGCCTGTAACGCCTGCGTTGGCGGGTAGCGTTTCCTGTTGCAGATCTCCGGACCGAACTTTTTAACTACGTACGGATCCGCGGGCTCGCCAGGATCTAAGATTCGAAAACCGCCTGTTATTGTACCGGGTAACGGGGCAGCTGGAGCGGGTACGGGAATGGGGATGGGATGCGGCGGGCAGTTGCAGTGGGGCGAGACGAGGCGCCAGATAAGGAGGAAGCCGCAGAGGACCGCGATGGACCGCGAGGCGCAGGTGGAGAGCTTTAAGTCTGCGAAGCGCTTCGGCTTGCCGTAACGCGTATCCAGTGCGAACGATCCCGCTGACGACGATCGACTTATCATTTTTTAGTCGGTCGTTCGAATCGGCGGCTGATGGAAGAAGAGGACGGGCCGCTATAGAAGGCAGTGAAAAAATCGCGAGCGAGGACTCAGATCCCTCACAAAAGGTCAAGCAGAAAAAGCAGGTGGCGGACCCCCCCGACTGAGAGCGGAAATAAGATGCACATACTCTCTAGTTACGGTATAGGCGGAGTCGAAGAAAGGATGTTCTTGAAGCTAGCAATACTTGCTCCTGCGTTTGACGGAGAGAAGCAACGAGTCCTAAAAAGCTGAAGCGTGGTTGGTGGGTGGGTGGGTTGGTCGGTCGGTGGATCGTGGAGAAAGGTGAAGAGTTGACGTTGGCGAGGTCATGGAGCCCAGGAGAAGATGGCGGGGGCGAAGACGTACAGTGTGCTTTGACTTGCACTGCACCTAACAATAATGAAATTTAGTGTGCCATTTACCAAAGCTCTCTCCACCTGCCAAACCTTTCAAAGAGGTGCTTGTTGAATAGTTTCTAATCAGCCAATAGATTAAATATGACATGCATTATTTAAATAAATAAACAGCAATTAGTGTTTCTTTCGTGACAAATCCCAGTTCCAAACAGCAAGCATGCGCCCTGTAACCGGTCTGGAAAGAAAACTCATAGTGGGAGAAATTGAAATCCCAGGGTGCTTGTACAGCCTTTATCTGGGCATTAGAGTGTTAGAAGGCTCCAACTTTCTACACAACCCTCCCCATTCTCTCGGGCTGCGTTGTTACAACATCGAGAAGTGGCTTGTATCGGAGGAAATTTTGGAGTCCTAGAAGATCCTCTTGACCAATCAGAGTGGCTAGAACTAGGATAGCTCCACCTCTCCATCGGCTTCCACGAACGCCTCGTCGTGCAAGTGCTTCGCCGTTTTTTCGTCAACTTCAGAATCACATATCGTAGCAATCGCGCGAGCATAACGAATGTCGTGAATGCTACTTCGCAACCAGCCGCCATTGATGGATTTGATTTCTTTCCACCTTCAAGCTAGAATCTCGCCTGAATTCATTCACTGGTTCACCATCTCAGCTAGTTCACTTGTTTCCACTAGCTAAGATTCTCCCGTGCAGGCCATGCAGAATTGATGTTCAGACACACAGTGGGACAGTCCGGTTCTAGGCTCCGTTTTCGATATTTTCGCGAACTCCATCTTTGCGTTCCTACCATTTGCCTGCGTTAGCAACTTGCTTCTCAGGCTGTGTACCTCGATGGATGTCTTGAGAGGAAATGTGGTGTCGCAGCAGATCCTGGTAAATAGGTCACCGTCGACGAACTTTCAGCAATCGAAAACTGCATTCTTGCCATGCAGCTCGCTACAAAGCTCGTCTTTTCTTGTTTCCCAACGAGTCGCTTTTTCCGGATCCAACCAACTTGCCACGTTCGGTCTTAAATCAACTAGCACTAGAACTGCTCATTCGACCGTAACATGCTCCGCCTCTCCCTCCTCCTCCTCTTCCAGCAAATCCTCAACCACTAAGACGCGTCGCCTTATACTGCTTCGCCACGCGAAGAGCTCCTGGGAAGACCCATCCCTAATCGATCACGACCGTCCTCTTAGCAACCGCGGGAAACACGGCGCTAAGAGCATCGCTAAGAAGCTCGCGCGGCTCGGATGGGTTCCGTCCTTAATCCTCTGCAGCGACGCCGTCCGAACTCGCGAAACGCTCGAAATCATGCGGAAAGAGGAGGACGGGTTCGCGGAAGCGAAGGCGAGGTTTCTCGGAAGCTTCTACACCGTGGCAGCCATGGATGGCCAGACGGCGCGGCATCTCCACGAAACGGTCGTGCAATTGGCTCCGGATTTCGCGGACACAGTGATGTGCATGGGGCATAACCGCGGGTGGGAGGAGGCGGCGAGCGAGTTTTGCGGCGAGTGGGTGGAGTTAAAGACGGCGAACGCGGCGCTTCTGGAGTCGAAGCGGCCGCACGCGGATTGGGGGACGGCGTTCGGCGATGGGTGGAAGCTGGTGAAGGTTCTTAAGCCGGACGAGAAGTAGAAGCGGAAGCGGAGGGGTGGAGGAGGAGAGTGCATCAGGGAAGCTGCTTCTGAGCCGACTCAGAAGAAGTCACTTTGGCTGGAAGCTGGTTAACATGGTTCAGCTGGACAAGAGATAGAAATAGAAGCAGTGGGGTGAGGACAAGTCTGCACAGGGGCCTTGCAAAGGGTGGAGGGGATGCACAAGCCGGATGAGAAGTAAAAGCAGAAGCAGAGGGGTGGAGGGGGAGATGGGGCGATGTGGCTGTGGACCAGAGAGGGGGTTAAGACTCATGGGCAGAAGACTCATGGGCAGAAGTTCAAACTGCTGGCCGTAGTAGGCATGAGTTAACGAATGGAAGATAGTGAATGGGGAGGGAAGTGCAGGGGCATACGGCAACGGGGAGGGAGAGCAGCAGAAGGCGTGAGTTTTGGCAATCAGGGGAAGAACATGTGATGGGATGGATGGGACAGACGGGAATGCTGGATGGGCATGGTTGCTGTTGACTTGGTCCTGGAAGGATGACACCGTATTTTGACAATGAGTTGGTTTTCATGTTCTAGAAAGTACGGTAGCATTGACTTCTATAACCCAAGACAGCGTTTTTACGGAAACTCGTGTTCCACAGTTGACTGCACCACACTGCTACAAAATGGAAGCCTATACATGTGTGTCACAAGATCATACAATTCAAACCTTATCTTTCACACCACATTCCTTGTTACAAAAGAACCAGCTACCAACTTCAGACATCTTCAGTCGCCACAACCTCATGACGGCTCAGGCTTCAACCATGGGTTCTCCCCCTGATGAGCTGGCAGCTTGTAATTGGACCTTACCGGGCTTGCTTGCAGCGGCAACAGAGTTGAACAGTAGATCCTTCATCACCTGATTCAGCCAGGGCGTGTGGGGATTGAAGAGAGAGCGCGTGGGGAAGAGACAAGGGTTGAAGAGGGAGATACCAAAAAGAGGGAACGAGAAGGCAGAGTTCAGCTCGTTCTGTAGGAGGAGGGTGTGCGGGGGAGAGTACCGCATCTATTGAAGGCTATAGGAATACTACATTCAAACATTACATTCACACAGCGATATACGCCACAGCCGCATTGGCATGGCATGACGGCCCTCACCTGCTACATGAGGCCATGCAGTTGCTCCACCGGGATACAAGTGCTGATGTCAGCATGGCATGACTGGCCTTCACCAGTGATGCGAGTGCTGAGTGCAGATACTGCAGTAATAGCATCACTCGCACTTGCGACATGAGTCTGTCCAAGTGCTAACAGCACGACATCGCTCTCACCTGTGACATGAGGCCGTGCAATTGCTCCACTGTGATGCGAATGCTGATGGCAGCATGGCATGACCGACCTTCACCAGTGATGCAAGAGCTGATGCCAGCATGCCATCACTCTCACCTGTGACACGAGGCCGTGCAATTGCTCCACGGTGATGCGAGTGCTGTCCCTTGTGGACCGACTCAGAGGCGACTCCTCCTGCACATGCAGCCAGGCAAAGGGCATTCAGGCAGTGCCGCCACAGCACAACACCGCAACGGTGCCACCAAAATAAAGCACGAAAGTACAAGAGGGTGAAAATGTTCAATGTGAAATTGAAACAAAAGGATTCTTACATCCTGGAAACCTGTGGCAAACAGACTAGGCTCCAAGCCCTTTAAGGACTTCCAGACCTGCTTTTAGAGATCCTACTCGCACCACAAAATTTCCGCCCCACCCTCACCTCCTGCTCCCTCCCACTCCGTCTTTCCCCCTCCTACTCAACTCACCTCCTTCCCTCTTTCCACTCACCTCCTTGCGTCTCTGCGGTGGCATTAGAAACCCCCCAATGCGTCCTGAATGCGCCAGCTGCCCCTCTGCCTGCTCCAGCTTCTCAGCTGGCAGGATGGGAAGGAAAGCAGGCAGGGAGGATGGGAGAGCGAAGGGGGAAAAAGGGGGAGGGAGAGCAGACATTGAGCGCAAATGACCCTCCAATGCGCC